ATACTTCTTTAATATGGTCTGCAAAAATGTAGTAATTTGAGGTCAAGAACATTGAACTGCTATCTGGTTTTTGCAGTAAACTGGTTATCAGACTGATCGGATCTGTCTGATACAGTATGTAACCCGGTGGACTCACCTAACCCCACATCCTAATGCTGTTTATAAAGCTGTCTCAGTACTGTGATGGCCCTGCTTATGTCTGTCTGTGTGCCCTGTCACTCATGGTGTGTGTTTTTTAGTCTTGGAGGTGCCAGGGGAGCTGATTGAGCATATCCAATCCGATCTGGAGCACTTGGGCCCAGTGCTTGCCGGATATAAAAGCTCTAGCTTCCCGGATTGCCCTCTCTTTCTCTCTCTTGCCTGCACCTTTTTGCTTTAATTGCCAGATATTTTACTTTTTTACTCCACAACACCTCATCTTACACTCACACTCGTCCACACGAACACCACTGACATTACAGACAAACACATCTCATATTTCAGTATGTGTTTTTTGTGTTGGCCTGATGCAGATTGGCTCTGCTGCTCCAGTGCGTCCTCACGGTTAAAGGCGCAGGAAGCGTATTTGTCCTTGAGCCTGGAAGATAGCCCTAGCTACGCCAAAATAGTCTATGCTTAAGGCTTATGAGCTTGTGCCGGAGGCGTATTGGCAGAAGTTCAGGTCTGGGGAGAGGAGAAATGGTCAGTCGTATGTTGAATCTGGATTTCAACCTCAGCACATGGGGTGCCAGCTCCACCAGGCGAACCACCAGGGTGCCCCAGGATGATATCTTTTAATTGCTAGTATGAATGGGTGGAATGATACATTTTTTTTTATTTAATCCTAATTCAATATTCTTTAAAAATATAAAATAAAAAGAGAGAGAGACTCAGAACTTTTTATTATCTCAAAAATAAAATCACTCTAGTCTTCTGTTTAAGACCAAGTCATATTATATTTTTGTTTCTTTGACACTCAAGCAGTAGCAAGTCAGCTAGTCAGATGGATGCATAAGGACTGCTCTACTCCCTCCTGTCTTTTCTTCCTTTCTTCATGGTTAGTGTATTTATCCACCATATATGGGCTTCAGAAGAAGCGCTGCCAGTAATACTTTTATCACTCTGAAGTTTACAAACCACATTAGAGCATCTCATCTGTTTGGTAGATTATAGTCAAAAGGCTTCTTGGTATGCCGGAAAGCAACATCCAGTTGCCTTTATATCGTAATATCTTTATATCTATATTACATGGATTTAGTAAATAAAGAAATTGCTGTCGCTCATCAATTTGTTAGCAAATGATAAGAAAGCAACGTTTGGTTGGAAGTCAGCCAAGCCATATGCATAACTTACCTAAAGCTTCACGATTGTTATCCATCTCTGTCAGTTTGAGTTCATAGAACTTTCCTTCATGCATGCATACCAGTTTGCACACTGTGTTGCAAATTGCATATGTTCAATGAACCAGTCCAGAGTTTAATCTACCATACGCTCTTCTGCAGCACCAGGTCACATCTCTGTGCTCCCCTTTTCAACCGGGATGTCCAGCATGAATACTGGTTTCATTTACGCAGCCCTATTGCACCAGGACACAAGTAACACAAAATGTTACTGTTGGATAAGTAATGGCAATATACTTGAGCAAGCACAGAAACAGGAAATGCTTACCTTTTTGGGCCCAGTGAGTATATATTATATATAAATATTTAAGGGCCGTTTGATGGACACTTGGCTATTTACAGCTCTCAGTCATGAGCCTGCTCCTGCCTTGAGCTTGTCACCCGATTATCGAAACGTGAATGACACTTGGGTAAAGTGAGATTGTAGTGTAGGTGTAACAGCGCCAGACAGGAGGATAATCACAATCCTTAACCTGTCACTTTAAATATACCTATACAAACCCTTGCTTCAAAAATGCACAACATAAAAAGAAAACACAATCCATCAATTTAGTTTCATCAATTACAATACCAACCAACTATGTCTAGTAGATTCCTGGCTTTTGGGAAGGTAAACATACCTTTGTTTTCTTTTTATTCCCTTCAGAACCATCATGAAGTTCCACAGCATGAAGATGGATGAAATCAACAAGATTATCAGAGACCTATGGCGGAGCACCTACAGGGGTCAAGGTGCATCTCACTTGAAAAAAAATTATAAAATCTGTTATTTGTATGTACATAGGTCTCCTCCCTAATTCCTCCCTCTCTCTGTGTTTGCATCACTCCCTCTTGCCCCCTCCCCTCCAGATATTGAGTATGTGGAGATCAGGTCGGATGTGGACGAAAACTCGTCCGCTGGAGTGAGGCGGAGGGTTTACAACTACAGAGTAGTTATGGTGAAAGGAGACACAGCTTTGGATATGAGAGGACGCTGCAGTGCCGGTCAGAAGGTACCAGAAAAGTATTTATAAATTAGCACATACAGTGGGTCACATAAAACTGTTGCATATATGTTCTAAAAATACTGTATGAGTATAAGTATGGTGTAAGCAAGTGGAATACAAACAAAAATCAGTAACTAGGTAGAAATCTAGGTCATGTAGATTTTTGTTACATTCATTCATTCCAGTTTTTATTTGTATTAATTTATTTTCAAATGTGCCTCTAGGTGTTGGCATCCCTTATCATCCGCCTCGCTCTGGCAGAGACTTTCTGTCTGAACTGTGGGATCCTGGCCCTGGATGAGCCCACCACCAACCTGGACCGAGACAACATTGAGTCACTGGCACACGCCCTCGTAGAGTCAGTACACACACACACACACACACACACACACACACACACACACACTTTTTTTTACCTCTAAACTTGCTTCACCCAAACCCTAATCTTGACTGACCGTCATATCAACACGCCATAACCCCAACTCTTACCCAGAAACCTGTAGCCTCTGAGGTGTCTAACATTTTGGATGATCTATTGACAGAAATTGAATATAATATTCATAGCTATGTTTTCATTACTGTATGATCACCTGTGAATAGGAATTGTTGTCTTAATTTCCTTAGAATGAGCCATTTCCTGCAACAAAACATGTCACTGAAAACATTTTTAAACAAGTGAGGATGTTTTTTTTTAATCTCCTGACTGGAGTCCTGCACGGGTCCAGTTTGCCAACGAGTACCCGACCACACACCCCCAAAGCTCAACACGAACCAATCCGTTATCCATCATTAAATCAATCTAAATCAATTCCATACCCATCCCAACCCAACCCGTTAATATATGACGTGACCCGATGTGACATCAAACAAGGGCTCGTTGCTGCTGCTGGTAGTGCAGATAAAAGCTCAGTGAGTCCGTTTACTGTACACAATGGACAGCGGAAGCCAATAAATGATAAATAAAAAGTCAATCATAGTGATATGTGCTCATTACAGATTTTTAATGTAGGTAATTTCCTCTTTAAGATTTCAACATGTAACATGGAGGTCCTCACAAGGATAGAAGTTAAAAAAAAATACACACACTGACAACATGCTTCACCCATGTCTCTGACCTGCAACATGCAAAATGCAAAAGGCTGCTTTTATGTGGACATGTTGCTATAAACACCTCTGAGAAGATGAATTACAGACTAGGAAGTCCAAGACACTGTACAACTGTTGATACTCTTAAGAACTGTATAACTCTGAGACATTATCAGCGACAATAACTTCCTTCCCCACCAAGCTTGAGCTGCACATGGTGTGTGGCTATTTGATTGGCAGAGTGCACAGTGCTGCGGCAAAGGTTGAGCTAGGAATAAATGTTTTGCCAGAGCCTTCTGTACCAACACCCACTGTCTTATTAGAAAGCAGCAGTTATATCAGAAGGGGAGAAAATAAGATAAGAAAATATCTTATTGCTCCTTTTCCGACTTCTCTAAGAGTTTGACTATGCTATATGGTTTGTTGATCTGGTTCAAGTTTGCCTGTGATAGACGGTGATAAATAGTTCATCCAATCCCCTGGCCTGTATTTTTTTGGAAGTGCCTGCCCTCACCCAAACAGTTTCCCAACAACGACTGTATGAATTTGGTGTACTTCTTTATCTCCCCAGAATCATCAAGAGTCGTTCTCGCCAGCGAAACTTCCAGCTGCTCATCATCACACACGACGAGGACTTTGTGGAGCTGCTGGGGCGGTCCAGCTACATCGAGCACTTCTACCGCATCCGTAAGAACCAGGACCAGAACTCTGAGATCACAAAGTGCAGCATCACCTCCCTCTCGTCCTATCTGCACTGAGAGGACAATGACTCTTTGAACTCCTTTGGAAATGCACAGTATTATTTGGTCCACTTGCTTTCATTGTGTTCTGGAAAAGTCAATGTTCAATTGATTTAGTTTAAAAACTACTAGGACAGTATGTTAGGGTTTGTTTGAAGCATCCTTCTATTAACTGGTCAGACAGTTAACTTTATACTGGCAAATAACTACAATGCATTTCTGATCTGCAATTCAGCCTTGCAAGGGCAATCTCTGTCCTGTCTTTTTCTCCGTCCAACTGTAAAGAGATTTCAAGGAACTCTTTGGAAGTGTACTGTGTTAATAATGTTCCTTAAAGTACCCCAAACTTAATTTGTGCTCTACACTATATTACATCCGCCAAAAAAAGCTCTAGAAAGGTGAAGCGTCTGCAAATATTCCATAAATCCAGTGCTTCCTAAATGTACCCTGTGATCTGTCCTTTGTTTAAAGGTCCTTTGGATGACATTACAAATCAAAACCCTCTAAACTCAGACTGAAAGTAATGATCCTAATCAATCGCATGAACAGCTTCCATTCTAAGGATCGAGACTTTTTTTTTTATATTGTCATTTTGAGACTTGCACTGGTGTTTGTAGTCTTTACAAAGTGGACAGAAGGATCTGTTCTTAAAAAAAAAAATCAGGGCAATATTGTAGTGTGCAGTTATATTTCCATGTTTGCCACTTTGTGAACCGGTAATGTTCTGTCATTAAATTTCTTTGTGAAGAACATGGGCTGTTTCTCTTTTTTTTTTTTTTTTTTTTTTTTACTTGTATCTCAGCAAACCTCACAAATTCAGTTCAGAGAAACATTGCTCAGTTTTGGTGAAATTGTTCGTTGACTGCAGCTTTATCAAACAAATCTTATCTCTCAAAACATTGCAGACTCACTGCATTTTTTTTTTTCTTTTTGTAATGAGGGAAAAAAACAGGCGTGGGCAAAGCAGTATAAAGGTAGAGCTCAGCCAGCACTAGAACAAGCATCCAGCTGACAACTGAGTGATCAATTCAAGGACTTCTTGAAATAGCTTCTTCCAGAAGTTGACAGCCAAACAAACTCTGATCATGAAGATGGGGATGCTTCTGCTGGTTTCAGCTCTGGTGCTGCTCTCTGCCGTCAGTCCCACCATCGCCAGTCCTTCTCCTCATCATCACAAGAACCTAAACATCGTATTTGACATGGCTCAAAAATACAACGAATCTCTCTCTCGGGTAAGAGCTCATCTGACGAGCACAACTGTTTTCTTGCTTGTTTACTTGTTATTTTTGGTGCATTACGTTGTTAAAACCTTTGATATCAGAAAGCAACTTAAGTAATAAATTATCAAATGTTTCTATGCTGCAGATGTACTTTGTGGAGGACGTGTCGAGTCTGGCTGATGGTGCAAACAAATGTCAGGTAAGAAAGCGTTAAGCTTTGGAAAAGTTGTTCACAGAGAGACTAATGTAGTTGGAGTAACAGCAATATTTCTTTTACTTATATTTGTATTAGTTTTGTATCTGTTTTCTAGACTAGTAACTGATACATAGTAACTGATTTTGCATATTTCTACACCTATGTGTGCTAACGAGGCTAATATACAATGTTCTTGCTTATGTTCCATACAGGATAAGTTCTTCTGCAAAGTGTACATGATCCTGCGTGAACACGAAGAATTGATTAACCGATCTGAGGAGCGTGGGCTTGTGAAGAACTTGAAGAAATTTGTTGATGGCATAAATGTAAGAGTCCTTCGCGCTAACACAGACTATCGCATACATACTGCAGCTACCTTTTAGACAAATAGCAAATTCCTGTAGAGAGGAACATTAATAAAAGGTTGTGCCCTGAACCAACATGTTTTCTTGTCTTTCAGGCAAACTGTACGGAGTTACTAAAGGATGTGGTCCCTTCAGACGTCACAAAACCGATACCCTCCCTTTTAGAACACCTCACCCGCTGTATCCAGAGCTTGAACATGAGACGAAGCGATTAATGAACAGACCTGCGACCCGACTGTCAGTGGAGTCCTTGAGAGTTTCATTTTGTTTTTTGAGAGAATTTCATTTTTTTACATTTTGAAAAACTGTAATGTAATGACTAATAGCAAATTAATGGGGAATATGATTAGATAATATGTTGTATACCAGGTTTAAATTGTAAATTTAATTTTTTTCTACGTAATGTCGTTGATAGTTTTTATTTAGGAGTTATCTTCAAGTGAATTAATATCTGAAGTCCCTCTAGACGATGCACAGCCGTCATAGTTTTGTACTACAAACAACAACACAATGTAATAAATAGTCATTTAACAGATATTTACTTTTATCTGCCCGGTAAGCAGTTTTGAATTAGTACAGTGATGATCACTGTGGTGATCTGAGCACTATCAAATACACCTTCATATTTATTCTTTTCAGTATTTAACATAAGTTAAGGCTGTTTTATATATTTGAGTGGCATATTTATTGTAATCCTATCATACAGCATTGAAATATGTGTTTACAGAAAAATAAATCGTATTACCCATGAGTGGAGTATATATGGAAATGCTTTGTGCTCACATGTTAATCAGAATTTACAGAAAGACTTTTTATAACTTTTATTTTTATCTGTTGCATTGATTTTCTTTATGATGCTGTGCTTTTTATCAAGTCATCTTTTCTCATTCAGTCTCATTCAACTACTCACACACCTCTTAAATATGTTAAGTTACATTTAAACTGCAGATTATGAGTGCAGCTGAACTACAATTTAACCTGTATCCATTTTTTTTTGTTTCACTTTTCATTTCTTTTAAATACATTATATTTGTAGCATTGACCTCATTGCATACTCATTGGCATTAGAATATCTTTGGTACTCTCAAATTTAATTAGACATCAGTTGATTTAGAGATGGATCAAACCAAGATGTTTGTAATGGATCTAGTTAAAGCACTGCAAAACGCAAAAATAATTCAATATAAGAAGGCCAAATGACTCTGAGTTTGTAGAGCACTGGCTGTGATTGTTTGATCATGTCCTTTTCTGTAAGACTAGTGGGGAACCACACAATAAAGTATTGGATTTATGTATATCTTTGACTTGCCTTGGACCCAATATTGTACAAGTGTTTAAAACGGCCTGTTTCTGTTGTAGTTTGCCGTGCTACAACAATAAATGACTATATTGTCAAATCTTTGTATGGATAGATGTTGCCGTGTTCTTTACCCTAGAGACAGATTGTAACATTGCATATTAAAAATTAAATGTTTATTCAGCTTTTGATCATGATCCACATATGGTTGTACATTAGAATGTGATGCCAACAGAAGTTTTTTTTCTCGTTGACAAATTAAGCTTTACCTAGTCTTATTTGGCACATTTTTATGCCTCCACGCCAGCAACAACTGTGACCAGAGGCATTATGTTTTCGGGTGTCTGACCATATAATCAGGAGAATCTGACGTCTCAGGAGTGCCTTGATGGAATTTCTTCAACTTTGGTACAAACCACTTTGACTCAAAGATGAGCTGATGACATTTTGGTGGTCAAAGGTCAAGGTTACATCCCATAACTCCAAAATTGATATACTAATTATGACAAAATGTCACATTTATATTCAATTTGTAGCTTCTTTGCAGCAACATCCATATCTGAAGTCTTGTCTACTGTCATGGCTACAACTTTGTCTTTGAATCAGCGTTATTGGCCAAGAATGGGAACGTATACAAGGAATTTTACTCTTTTTTTTTTGTTGTTTGTTTGTTTCTCTGAACTTACACACTAATTCACATACAGCAAAACAAGAACAACCAAACTTAATAAAAATGAAGGCAAATCAATTTTATATCCTGATTCTCGTCAGGAAGATTTCAGTGTTATAAGACCAGTCCAGTTTTTTTTAATAATTTGGACCCCAAGGTGTTTGTATGACTCCAGCCTCTTCACCTCCTTACCCTGGATGACAAACCAGGACAGGGGGCCTACTGTTCCTCTGATAGTCCACCACAAGCTCATTGGTCTTGCTGATACTGACCTTCAGGCCATTTTCCCTTCCCCCAAAGACAAAGATCTGTATCAGTCCTAAACATTGTCTCTCAGTGATTCTCGCATGGTTCTCACAGTAAAATATTCACATGACTCATACATTTAAATACAGTGATAACTTCCATGATCTGGAATGGCGCCGGCGACAACGTCAACTGTCATGGCAGCTCCTTTCATTGTTGTAGTTTTAGTGTGTTTTCAGTGTGTTTTTGCTATTTTGAACTCTTTTCTTACTTTCTTACTAACGTTACTTTGTTCACGTCGCCTAAATACTTTTTTGGCGTTTTTGAGCGCTTTTTATTTTTTGTTTACGCTGGTCTCCTTGGCGACGGGGAGTCGCATTGTTTTCACCCGACCAGGCCCCCTAGCATCCTGACTGGAGAGAGACCCTCCATACCGGAGGAGCTGAGGAGGAGACGGTGAGGCTGCAGAGCGGGGGTTAAACAGAGGATGAAGAAGAGGAGCTTTAAACTCTACATCCCTGCAATCATCGAGCAGATACCGGACTCCATCGTCACCATTCCCGGCTTCCAGACGGTTCGAGCCGACAGGGACACCACCGCGACCGGCATGAAGAAAGGAGGGGGACTGTCCGTGCTCATAAACAACAGGTGGTGTAACGCCGGGCACGTCTGTGTGAAAGAGGACATCGAGCTCATCGCCGTCGGACTTCGTCCGTGTTGTCTGTCACGGGAACTTTCCAGTGTTGTCGCCATCACTGTCTATATTCATCACAGTGGTCTTCATCATCACCATCACTGTTTACATTTATGATGTCCTATTTATTCTCCTGTACAGCACTTTGGTCAACTTTGGTTGTTTTTAAAGTGCTTAACAAATAAAGTTGTTTTGGATTGGATTCCATTTTGCCAAAAAATACTCTTAATACCTTCCATCAGATTCCATGTGAAGGTCTTCACTACTTACTGCATTATATGAGTCAGGACAGATATGAATGTAAACTGCAGAGGCATAAAACCACATGGCAGTAATTCTAATTTTTCCTTGACGTTGAGGGCTCTTTATATTGGAGGCCCTAAGTCAAGAAGTCCTTGTTGCATTTGAAATTACGTAAAGAAGACACAGAAGGTCAGATGGTTCGATAAGGAGTGTATTGCTGAATTTATTTTTCTTCCTTTAAGAATTGCCTCAGAAAATGTGCCAGTGGTTTAACTGCTACCATTCTTCTGCTTTCAAACTACATTAAAGTTTTTATAGCATTAGACTATTAGAGCACAAAACCATCATGCCCAGTCAGATTTTACTGATATGTTTCCTATGAGTGTATGTATTTGTTGTTTATCAATATACACATAATTATTCTTCATTATGGTTCTACATTGTACAAAATTATTTGATATGGGGTAAACCTGTGGACAAGTAATGATTTAGATTAAAATGAATAGTTTGTATCAGGGCATCCAAGCAAAAATAAAATGAGGCTGCCATGTGGGCGCTTGAAGGCAACTGGCTGGCAGCACAGAGAGTGCGTGGAAGGGGGGTCAGGAGGCCCCCTAGTGGGTTAATCAGTCTATTAGTGGAATGAAGTTTAGGTTACACTGTTAAATCCTGTTGCTTCATTGGAATCTTTTCACTTTAGTTGAGAAAAATAAATAAATAAATCAGATTTGAAATCCACATATTGAAGCAGTCTTGTGCCTTTTTTGTAATTCTTTTAACCCTTTAACCTTAACTTTTCAGCTGTAAACATGAAGATCTTGCTTAACTTCCACAATTATAAATTGATTGTAAATTATCAAAGCAGGTACACTGTAAACCTGGATAAGTAGAATCTACTTAAAAAAATCAAGGTAACTCGTTGCCTTAAAATGTTTAAGTAATGAAGCATTAGTTGAATAAGTGAAGTAGACTACGTTCAATGTACTTGAGCCCATAATGGAATGGAATAGAACATTTAAGTTGAATGTACTAATAACCGAGTTACAGTAACTGAAGATACTTAGTTTAAACAATCATTCCCCACCCATTTATTTAACTCAGCTTATTAAGTACACATTACTCCATTACCAATTCAACTAAATTGTATATTCTAACTGACCCAACTTAACTTTTTTAGTTCCTGAAACTCAAAGTATGTCTTTCAATCAATAGAGCCGTGTAAAATACATACATACAACTGCAACATTACACTGATCCAATTTTTTTTGTTGAACATGTCTTTTTTTCAGCAACAAAAGAAACAAAGCCATGGCCTAATAGGCTTCTAAGTGTGTCGTTTCCTCAGTGATGGCATGAAAAGAAAAAAAATCTCTTCCTCCTTACCTCCAATCATTACAATATTGTACTGCGCCTCTTCAAATTTGGTTGACAAACTGGCAAGATAAAACTCAGCCCTGCTGAACACTGGCATCTTAACATTTACAAATAACAAATGTGTCCATGGAAAAACAAAAAAGTGTGTGAGAATGAAAGAAGAGAGAATGGGAGGATGAACAAAATAACAGAGCAGATACCTGTATGGAGAGCCCATACTCTCCCCTCCACCTCTACCTTCCTTTCTCTCTTCCCCCCCTCCTCTCTCTACCACACTCCTCCATCTTGGCAATTGTGAACTTGATCATTAACAAAAAATGTTTCTCTGGGTAAAATAAAAAAGCATGTGTGAGACAGAATAAGGGTGAAAAATAAAACTGACAGTAGATACCCATCTGGAGCCCGTACTCTCCCCTCCTCCTCCCTCTATCTCCCCTCCTCACAACCCCCCATGCTTTCTCTATCCCCCATGTAACATTTTTTTTTAGTCTGTCTCCTTACCCTCTCTCTCTTCACTTTACTTTTACTGCCAATTAATAAAAAAAACTCACATCTGACGGCTTGGGAAGAGGAGATGCTGGATCTTACATTGCAAGCTGATTCTTGAGTGTTTGAAGTTTAGGTTTCAGATCTGTCTTACCTAAGTCCAGAAGTACCTGTTGAAAAAATCAAAAGTGTTCTTCATGTATTTTGGGTAGTTGAATACAATGTACATGGCCTGGGGGCAGGCTCTCAACATCCATCACAATGTTTCCCTCCAAGATGATTCCCACTGAGGATGCGTTATGGTGAAGGGACTGCGTGTGTGGAGTGATGTTTTCCTGTTCATGGCACTGGCACATCATTGTACGAACTCATCATCAACGTCCTGAAAAAAGGAACAGGGCATGATCACATCAACATGACAACATAGTGCTACAAACACCCTCTATAGGTACACAGCCCACATGTCTGCCCTATCCAGTGTCCAGATCATCAGAATGATCAGAAGTAACAAGTAATGTCAATAAATTAGGGAATTTAAGTACTATGAACTCAATCTCTTTGAGTTGAATCAAAATCTGGGTTTACAGTGTATTTTAAATGGTAGGTAGTAAATGTTTAAAACGTGTAAAAGTACAATAAATAAATCACAAAATAAGAATATTAGAAAAACATAATATGAAAAATATATACACTATATACAATATGCAGTAAAGTGGTGTGCAAAATATTTTCAGTGTCCTATGACTAAAAGACTAAACTGTATATGTGCAATTGAAAGATAAATAGTTGGCTTTGTGGGTTGAAAGTTAAACCGGGGTTGTATGTACTGGGTGCTGTGGCGTTATGGAGTCTGATGGCTGAGGGTACAAACAAGTCTGCAAAGCGGTTTGAGGCTTGGGGCTGGATCAGTCTGTGGCTGAAAGTGGATAATAAAAAGGTTGTCCATGATGGCTTTCAGCTTCCCTCTCATCCTCTTCTCAGTCACAGCCTCCACACTGTCCAGCTCCATACCCACCACCGAGCTAGCCTTCTTCACCAGCTTGCTCAGTTTGTTGGCACCACAAGTCCCGATGCCCGCATATTATCCTGAGTCCTTTGTTATTTCTGTTTGTTAAAACACAACTGAAGAATGTAATCTGATTAGTAAAGCGTACAATTGTCAGCATATAATGATATTTAAGTTTCTCTTACGACTGTTATTCATTTTTATATTACCAGCTGGTTTAATTTCTTGAAGCAAATAAATAATAATAATAATAATAATAACTTTCTCATAATCATTGCTGCTACCAGTTGAGCTATAATGGTGTTTTGTGGCAAAAGATAGAAAATAATACTTAGTCTTTCCAAGTATTTCCATGCTGGTCAAAATTGACATTTTCGTTGTGAAGGGATGACGTTCTGTCATTAAATTACTTGTGAAACAACCAGACTATAGGCCTTCTTACTGACAATCTCTGTTGTCAGGAAGCGACCTTTGTTTGAATGGTTTGGTTCCTGCCCTACATAGGCTACTGAGTTCAGAGAAACATACATCAGTATTGGTGAAGTGTCTCATCAACCACACAATAATCAGTCATATCTTATCTTACATTACCGACTGACAGCATTTTTTTCCTTTTTGGTATGAGTGGTAAAGCTTGGCCGAGGCGTGGGCAATGCAAAAGTATAAAGGTTCTCAGTTGAAGCCTTATAACAAACTGATCAATTCAAGGGCTTTCTGACATAGCTTCCTCAAGAGCTCAACAACAGCTTGTATCATGAAGATGAAGATGCTTCTGCTGGTATCTGCTGTGGCTCTGCTGGTAAATTCAGCTGCTGTTAGTGCTCGTCCTCATAACGTTACTCAGCAAAACCTAATATTTGACCTCGTGGAAAAATGCATTGAATCTCGTTCACAGGTAAAAAAAAAACCAAAAAGCGTAAACTGTTTTCTTTTACTGTTATTTTTTCCATGTATGGATGCATTATCTTTTAAAAACATTTTCTTTCCAAGAAACCTACCTGAAGTATTAATTTAATTCATTATTCTAATATGTGCTGCAGACATTTGTGGATGATGTATCACATCTGGCTAAAGGCAGCAGAAAATGTGAGGTAAGGAGAGTTTTATGTTTTTGAAACTTTGGTTGTATGCGCTAGGCTGTTTGGTAAAGGAAATGTAATTGTTGCAGTTATAAACCTTATATAACCAGTATTTTGTATTTGTGACGGACATTGTTCGGGGCAGTAGCCAGGATTGTAAAGATACTAAGGAAATGAGTCCAAATTCCGCTTTCATATGTTCTAAATGTGATTTCAAGGCCTTGACACAGCCAATGATTCTGATATAGCATACAGTTCTTTTTATTTTAATTTGTGTAGTTTTGGGCCTAAAAAAAAGACATTTTAATATATTTAGTCTAAAAACATCTCCAGGAATATTACAGAAGACAGTCCTGTGTTTGTGTTAGTCTACACTACATTACTATAATAATTTCTCATCAGCAACTAAGGAAAGCACCAAACACGGACTGGAGTGTGATAGCACTATAATAACATCTTAGCAGCCAACATAAGCTACAGAAAAAAAAAACAATGGTTATTTTACACAGTTACTTATTTGTGTGGCTGCTTTATTTTATGTATTTGTTTTTTTTATAACTTGAAATAAAATCCAAAATTTGTTTGGCCTGCTGAATAACAATTGTCATTATAATGATCCTCCTATAATTTTCCTCTCCGAAAAGCAAATATATAATAGTATAGCCAATCTTTTTGCAGGGGATTAGTAAGAACATAAAGCAAAAGTATGTACTTAGGGAGTATAATTAATATACATCATAGTTGGATATTTAAGCAGTATGTTTGTTTTCTGTAGAGCATTTGTCTGTTTTACTTATAAAAGCTAATACATTATTACTAATGTTCCATACAGGATCGGTTCTTTTGTAAAGTGCATGATGTCCTGCGTAACACAAAAGATGTCTGTAAAGAGGAGGACAGGAAGGTGCTTGTGGAAACCCTGCATGCGTATAATACTGGCAGAAATGTAAGAACTGGGAGCACTCTGACACCAAGATTAAATGTTTAGAGTACAACACTGCAAATGAAATAGAAATTTATGAAGGTCTGATTTCTTGTCTTTCAGGTGCAGTGTGAAAATACACTTCAGGGAATGACAAGTACAGGCATAGAGATCGAAGTATCCAGCTTTTTGGAACATGTCAAGCGTTGTGTCCGGCACAGAAACTTTCATGGGACCAAAAAATAGCAGCTCCTGAATACCACCAAAACCCAATGTGAAGGCTACCAGATACAGCTGCTTGTTTTACTAATTTGTAACTGTATTTAACATAAATTATTAAATCTATTTGAATAACATATTTATTGTAATATCATGCAGCATTGAAATACAATTGTACAGAATTTACAGAAAAATAAAATTGTATTCATTAAGATAAATGCTTCGTACTATGTGTCATTTTGATAAAAAAAATTACAGAAATGCACCTGATTAAATAGTTATATATTTTTATTTATATATTTTAGTTTGTACTTTTAACAGCTAAGTACTTTTGGCAAGTCATCTCACAGTATACCCGCTGTTCTCATTTAGGGCCTTTTCACATCTAAAGATGTTGAATGCAACTAATATTTATAATGTACAAGCTACTTGTCTTTCATTTTTTGAATGTTTTTAATTTGTAACATTAATTACTAGAAATTGTGTGAGCACTGGTGCCAACCTATGTGAGCAGCTGACCAGTCACTCCTCAATTGGACCGTGTGTGTCATTTTCGTGTGCGTAGAAATAGCAGTACAGAAACGTTTAGAAGTTCAAATGATTGCTCAAATATGAATGATTCAGTAAATCATTCAGCCCACAAAGAACTCCTGAAGAACTCTGTTTTCGTGGAGTGCACTCAACCAATAGGTGCGCCCCAGAAATACATTTGTGTAGATGCTCTCTGCCTGGCTGTGGTGAGCTCTCTGAGAGAAACATTTTTCACCACTCTTTCCCCCCTTGCCTTGGACAATGTACCCGTCACTCAGTGACTTGATGCAATGTGAGAGCTATGAGTAGGCTTCCTCTTGGTGGTGGTTGGGTCTCTGCATGGCGTTCAGCTGTGTGTATGTGTGCTACTGAACCGTGGCTCCCTCATTACTAAATAAAGAGAATCACTCTCTTTTTTTAGAACTGTTGGAATATTCCCAATACTTTGTGTAACCTCTCCTCTCATGTTATTCTTGAAGGACTTCAAAGGACAAGTAAACTTTCAGATCAGTTTATGTAATGAGAAGAAACCTCCTGCTCAGTGGGCCAATACACTGCATAGAGACCATAGACCAAACAGTGTTTACTTCAGTTATTTAAGTAGAAATAAATATATTTAAAGTATCCTAGGTGAAACTTCTCATTTTACTGCACAATGACCTCTTTTAGTCTCTTATTTTGTATTATATCATTTAATTATTATTACTAATGCACTAACATGAATGTAGTCTGTAGCAGGTTATGAGGAATGTCTGAAATGATCAGGTCCAAATAACTCAAAAAACGTAAAAGTAAGCTAAATGATAGATTCCACCACTGCTAATAAATGTTTGTTGAATGTACATTTAGGTTATATATGTATATCTATATATCTATATCTATACCTAAATATCTATATATAAACTAGCAGAGGACAAAGGACCACTACTTTGTTGGCAGCATAATTATTAATTATAAAATTCTAGATAGATTTAGGATGCAAAAAGATCACTCACAGATATCATCAGTACAGTACAGTTATGTTTGATAATTAAGTAATTTAAAGGGAGTCTGCATTACCAGTAGTATCATGTGGCCTCATTAAAGGATAAAATAAGATTTGTTTAGATCTGTTATCATGGCTATCAATCCATTCCCATGTGGTAATGTTGGCAAGTATGCAAATGAGCTTGAATCACCTCAAGGCAAAATAACCTGACCCGTTATTCAACTATATCACAGCAGCTCTGTTCTTCTATCTCATCTGATGAGCTCCAGCAGGTATCCACTGCAGAATGCTCTCTGCGTCTCAGAGTTCAAATCTCACTGACCAGCATCATGTAAACATAAACCTAATTAAGTGTGTACTTAAGTGTGTAATAGGCCAAGCATCAGTTGTATTTAGAGTAGCTTGATAAATATCATTTTGTTGAGTTTTTCCTCCTGATCTGTACACACACAGAGAAATACTCGCTCAGCACTGGCTGCCTCTCCTGCTTCTTTATTGTGTTCCTGGTCGGTTAGCCTCGGGGCTGTCTTCAGGGCCTGGGGCCAGTGGGAGCAAAAGGGGGGGGCGGGTGGCTGCATCTGCCAGGGGACCTCCTTCAGGGGCCCCACTGTGGCCTGGCTCGGTTTTCATCTCTGTCTTCAAAAGCACAGCCCCTTGGAGGGAGAGGGGAAGAGAAGGGAAGATAGTGGCACTGCCATTGTTATTTTCCCGTGTGCCCTCAGTCAGTACCCTGTATACTGAGGGGATTCTGGGGTGATGGAGCGTGTCAACACCAAGCTTCTTTTTGCTTCCCTGTGTACATGTTTTTCACCCTGGAGGGGTGATCAGAAATGCAGAATGTACAAAGTACTAGATATGTTTCCATGCAATTTTATTAAGCATTCTTTTTGTTTGCAATTTTTTTTTTTTTTTTTTTTTTTTGGGCAAACTTGACCTAAATACTTTGTTAGCAGCAGGATTATTATTCATAAAGTGTTAATTATTCATCTTAGAATTTTAGAATTTTAATTTTAATATGTTGCCATATTGGTATACAAAATACACAATGTCCTGCATGTTTCCATGCCCAAAACTGTACTTTTAATATTCTGAAGAGGGCCTAGCAAGATTTTGTAATTAAAACAGTGCCTATAAACACTCGGCCCATCACCTTTTATAGGTTCTTCTTCTACAAAATAATTTGTTTCCTCTGCCCACACATACAGTATGTTGTTTTCATTTGCCACTGTTTCTACATCAACTTTATTTGTCCTATTTTCTGGACTCTGGGTGGTGGAGAGAGACATTTAAGAGTTGGTAGCAGCAATACACCAAGGTTGCATCTACACTTTTGCCAATGAAACAAAAAAAGAAGAAGCAGCAGCTCTTAGCATGTTGTTTATTTAAAAAAGGCAGTTCCATCACACATGATTGCGGCCAAATGTAGAAGCCACACTGCACTATCTGGTATTCAAAACAGGCAGAACCAGGAGCCAATTATCAAGCTGTGTAAATTTGACATTTCATTGGATGTTCGACCTGTCCAGGAGGGCGTAGCCTCCTTGTGCCTCCTCTCCTCTTGGCTGTGGGTCCTCTGGGTGCTCCTGCTGTCACAGGAGTTTTGTGTCAGACTGTTTAGGGCCGGCAGGGACGCACTCACCTTGACATGATCAAGTTGGAAATGAAAGGAACTAAATCAAGACGGTCAGACAGACAGACATGTTGACCGTTAGGGATTTAGTCTATTTCTTTCTCTGATCCTCTCTTTTCATTTGTTCCTTCCTTCCATCCAGCTTTTCTTTCTTCCTACCTGGTCCACCTGGTTCATACCTTAATTTTCTTCCTTTAATCTCTTCTTCCTATTTTACTTAATTCTTTTTTTCCCCTCTGCACTTCCTGTCACTCTATTGTGTTTCCCTTCTTTTTCCTTGATCTTTTTTTTTCATCTCCTCTTCCTGGCTCTGATTGCTCTTCTTTCTTCCTCTGTTCTTCAACTCCCACCTCCCTCTAACAATTCTTTCCTTCTTTTTTCCTCTTCCCTTCCCTATGTTCCCCATGTCGTCCGTCTCCTACACTGCAGCCACATTTTCTTGGAGAGGATTATTATGTTCAGCAGACTGTATGGCGATTATACGTTCATATACTCTAATCTGAGTTTGTGTGCAGACCTGCGCCCGACCAGCTAAGTGCTTTGTAGAAAAAAAATCACGCCACAGTGAGTTATTTCTGGCTGGGTTAATCTTATTTCTCTGGGCACTTTGATAATGGAGAGGACTTGAATAATGAATGGGGTGTATAATACTGTTCTTCAGGCCCGGTGAATGAATTAAACAAGTGCCTATAAGTGAGTTTCTGTGAGTGTCTCTAATATAGCGCCACTCCTTTGTCCCTTTCAATTCCACGCTTTTATATTTGTATTTTTGGAATTGGAACAAATATACATACTTCAGCAGTGATGAAGATGCCAGAGTAAAATGATAGAACGGTATTAATGTATGCTGCGACATAGACAACTCACTTTATCACTGATAGAGGAAGGAGCTCGGTCCTTCTCTGTGTTCACATCTCTGCGTGTGTGTGTGTGTGTGTGTGTGTGTGTGTGCATATCTCAATAGTGTCTGCATAATGCATGGTGTGTTAGTTGGCAGACAGCTTGACCTCACACACAGACTATGAGACTCTAAATGTTTCTCCGTCACAGAAGTTCACTGGTCTCTCCGCAGAGCTGATGCATATCAGATTAATGATCCCCTGTGAAGAGGAGAAAGGGCATTGATATTTAAGAACATAGAAGTATGTTTATTTTTTAACTAAGAAGTCATTGATTTGGTTTAAGTGATAATATTTAAGTAAAAGCTACAAGTTTTGCTTCAAATTCAACTTAGTTCAGAATGTAGTCAGGAAAGGTCCCAAACGTATTTTATTTATTGAAATTTTTATTATTTTGCTTGTTATTTATTCAGTCGTTGATTTAGGCTGTGAAATCACAGAACATTTAGTAAGATGCCAGTCACAGGCCCATCATACAGACCAAAGTGATGTCCTAAAACTGTCAGTCCAAAACCCCAAAATATTCCCTTTATAACGATGAGAAAACCAAGGAGCATTTGAGATGCTGAAACATGACTTGCTGTTATTGATCAGTTTTCTGTCAGTGGATAAATAATGGACTGTTTGTTTCACCACTGTGACACGATTGTGCCAGTATCTCCTTTTTGCCTCTTGCCTCATCAGTGGTGGAGGAGGTATTCAGATCTTAAGTAAAGTAAAAACTACACTAAAAATACTACTTTAAGTATTAAAGTTAAAGTAAGGACAAACCTCTGTCTGAGTTATAGTAAATGTCATTAGATAATCATTACTGATACAAGTGTGAGCAGAACTTTAATGTAGTTGCCCTGGGAGCTGAGCCATTTTATTTTTGGGGTTGTTTTATATAATGGTGGGTACTTTGATGTATAAGAACACATTGAATTCCATATGCTTATTATAGGGTTTTAAGATCTTAATCTGAAAATGAACAAGTTCAATTAGCAGTGTCATTCTGTACAGTAAAAATATAAAGTATTATAAAATTAAAATACCTCAGAACTTTATAATGTGAGAACGGAGAAGGGAACAGGAGCTACAGATGGACAGCAGTTACTGCTATACCTTTGTAAGAGACATCCATCACACTGGCCTCAAGTTTCCAGAGAGTAACACAATCTCACTGTGTGTGTGTGTGTGTGTGTGTGTGTGTGTGTGTGTGTGTGTGTGTGTGTGTGTGTGTGTGTGTGTGCAGACTGCAGCAGTAGGTTGGTCCTGAGCTGGTTTGGCTTCTGATGATAATAGAAGGTGACTAATAGAGAGCGCAGAGCTGTCTCCCTTCGCTCTGGTCACATTTTCATTTGTTGCTTCTGGCACTGGATGAATTATTGAGTTCGAGGTGTTTGGGGCTCCCACCCCTCCCCTCACATTCCCTCACTCTGCTCCCAAGAATGACAGCCACCCTGTATGTGTGTGTGTGTGTGTGTGTGTGGGAGAGAGACACTATGGGTATATATATGTGCATGCATATAGCAATTAAATGGAGCCTCATTCTGTCAAAAATGGTCTTCCCTGCATGAAAACATCTCAAGCAAGCACACACATCTCTATTTTTCTCACACCGCTCCTCTCTCGTTCTCTCGCTTTCTCTCTCTCTCTCTCTCTCTCTCTCTCTCTCTCTCTCTCTCTCTCAAGCACTTTATCTCCTTTTTTTAAAAATGTTTGATTCTTTTTCTCTTTTTAATTTCCACTCTCTCTCAAACCACTCCCAAGCTCCTAAACTCTGGTTATTCACAGTTGTCTTAACTGCAAATCAATTTGCATAAGGTCTGATTCAAAGCCAGTTTTCATATTAAACATAATGCACAAATTGGCCCAACACACCTCCATTATTGCACGAGAAAACGCAATATACCTTTCAGCTGCTGCTGAATAATTGAAGTGCCCTCAGTCGCCAAATGCTGCAAACGCTCACAAGCCTCCAGCTCAACTTACCACACAGCGAGCACGTTATGATATCAATACGGGGTATTACAAAGATCAATTATTCACACGGCGACGCTCATTTTTTTTAACCTTACATTTCTACACTTCATTCAACACAAACATGATGCGTTTGAGGGGCCTTTGGCTGAACCAAGTCAAATATTTCATAATAAACACGCCATGAAAATAATGTGATACCGTTTTAGAAAGCTTCATGACAATTATTATCCGCAACATTTTTATATCCCCTTCCCCTCCCCAAAAAAGAAAAAAAAGAGACATATTTAACGCCATAAATTAGTCTATGGACTGTTATTAATTGCCTCGGCATCAAAGAGAATATTAATAAGAGCCACAAACGTTTCCGTGTAAAGTATTGATCCCCTGGCTGACAACAACCCGCCGACAGTCTCACTGGGAAAATCACACAACCGCAGGGTCCTGTTTGACTGAGGGAGGATTCCGGTAGAAGCTTTTTTTATTTATTTATCTATTTATTTAAAGAAATGTTTGGTTAATATTAGGAGAAAAGTGGCCACGGCTGTGCGCGCATTTTACGCAGAGCACATTGTGAATACAGTTTTATTTTAGCAATGTGAATAAAGTGGGCCTCGAGTGGATTCACTGAGACAGGCGGAACAATTTAAATGCAATGAAGAGTCACACTTATTTTCAATAATAATAATAATAATAATAATAATAATAATAATAATGATAATAATAGCGTGGTATTTTTTTGTTAAATAAAGAATAAAACAGACATTATTCAAAGTGCCTCTAATAAAAAGTCAAATGAAATCAAAATAGCCTATAATATTAAAACATACAACACATAATAACATCATAAAGGAGGAAAAATACTCACTTATTGAAACGAAAAAACAACAACTATAACAACAACATAGGCCTACTTTAATTTCTCCCTCTTTCCTCGGTTAACCTGTTGTGTCTCCAGTTCGTCTCTCCCTAGAGTTCCCAGTCAGACTTCTACTCCCAGCTCCTCCACATTACTTCGTTTTATACCAATATATAATTAATATTGCATCGTCATTACTTAATAATTTCAAACCCCACGCACGACATAACCCGGTGACATGAGGGCATCCATAATTAAAAACTGCACTAATTAAACGGAGGAAAGGGGCCATTAGCAGGCGTGTAGAGGAGGCACATTCTGCGCTCCTCCGTGTGAGAATTGCTGTGAAAATGGAGGCCCTTTTTATTTTCTGTGGTGCTTATATCATGTACGACAATACATATTTAATCCCAGCAGAGCTTTGGGGGGGTTTCATGAATAAAACAGACGAGCGAGTTCCCCGAAAAACAAACAAAGATTTGATCGCCCATTGGATACGTTTGGAAATGTATTAGACAGTTCATGAAAAAAAAAAAGAAAGAAAACGATAGTTAAACAATTTGTATTTGTATGCCGAGTTTATAGGCATTAATTAAAAAAAAACACAACTTAATAAAGCACAAAAATAAAGTCGCTGCTTCAGATAATTTTCTTTAGAAAATAACCAATAATTTATTAAGTTTAATCTTCACACATTTTTTTTCAAGTGAAATCAAGAATGACAAAAAATTAAATACTTAAATTAGGTGATGTAGGCCTGTATATACTGTATATATATCTGGGCTATATAATAATTATATAGCACACCTGTAATGCTCCAAAACATGTTCACATCAAAATAGTAAAATATAGCAGCAGCTAAAGCCACACACGGATGTGCCTCATATATGACGGTGTCATTTCCCATTTTTAAATAATTCAAGATAAACCGACTTAGTGTATTTATACCTTGTGAAAGTATTACGGTAAATACTCATATTTGTGCGCAAAATGACTATCACACTGTTCACGAAGAGGGCAGATTCGTTTGAAAAAAAAAGGGGTTTTAAAGAGGTGGGTGATTCTTTTTTTTAACCCCTCAACATTGAACTCACATTACTCGGAATTAATAGGGAAGAAAAGTGAAAACACATTTGATATGATGGTGTACTTCTGCACATGTGAGCCAGTGAGGTGGAGGATAAAACGCTGATCTCAACCAACATTACAAAAACAAATGAATTATCTTTTCACTAAATACTAATTTCTTTCTCTTAACACCGCTGACAATTAAACAGCACATAAATGTAAGTCTCCACACTGGTGGTTTAAAAAAAAAAAGAAAAAAAAAAGAAAAAGTGAGTGAATATCCCTGAATGTGACAAACTGTCAGGGTGGAGAAGTTCGTTAGTGTGTGCAAGATACATGATCAACAACATCAAAAATCAGCCTCCCCCGCAGATCTATAACATTTATCAGTCCCATATTAATAACAAAATCGAAAAAAAAGTGCAACAACGAAGAGTGAATGACACGAAATGAAAAGTGGAATTAAAAGTCTTTTTTTTTGTTTGTTTGTCTGTTTATAATCCCAGACGAGACGTGAAGAGCTGTTGATAAAATCCCTGTTAGTTAGGCTACTTAGGCTATTATTAATCACTCGATCAAAAATGTAGTAGGCTATTTTATTCATGATGTGTGAAACTCAGTGCACCGCAGAGTATTTCATTCGTTTCTGTTTTTGCCGCTGGTTGCAAAACCACACTCGAACCACATTCTTTTTCAGGTCCAGTTTTTCGGCGATGGCCGCAATTTTTTCCGAGGAGGGCCGCGGCTGGATGGCAAAGTAAGCCTCCAAAGAGCGCTTCTCCGGCGCAGCGATGGAGGTGCGCTTTCTTTTCCTCTCGTTCCCGTTGAAAAGGTCCGGCTTGCTGCTTTTCTCCCGGTACGCAGCCTCTGCTTCCTCCAGCCAGGCCTGGAGAACCGGCTTGAGCGCTATCATGTTGTTGTGGGACAAGGTGAGGGACTCAAACCTGCAGATGGTGCTCTGGCTTAAGGACCCCACTCCGGGGATCTTGAGGTTGGCCAGCGCAGACCCGACGTCCGCCTGGGTCACTCCGAGTTTGATCCTCCTCTGCTTGAACCTCTCGGCGAAGGCTTCCAGCTCTCTGGGATCCGACTCCACGTCGTTGACGCATGCCATGCCGCCGTGCACAGACAGAGAGTGGGGGTGGGCCATGTTGGCCATCGCCTGGTGCAGCTGCCCCATGGTCTGCAGGTGGTGGTGAGGGTGCTGGTGGTGATGCGCCGTCGTGGTCATCCCGGGAGGCTCCGGAGCGCCCATCCCGGTCACGGCCAGGCTGGTGGAGAGGTGATCCAGGAGGTCTCCGGCCTCCAGGGTCTGTCCGAGGTGGTGGTGGTGGTGATGGTGAGAGGCGATGGTGGAGGGGACGTGGGAGATGGGCACGGTGGTGGAGGAAGAAGAGGAGGCTGAGGTGCAGGGGACACTGCTCATGGTATGGTAAGTCACGTCTGGTTTGAACGGGTGACTCTTGCCGTGAGAGACAATGCTGTCAGCAGCCGCCAGAGCCTCTGCCCGTGCCAGCAGGCTCTCATCAAAGCCTCCGAATATATTGCCCTGCAGCTGCAAGCAAGAGTGCGCATACTGGAGTCAGTGGGGAATTGTGTCAGGCAGCTCTCAGGATCTAAAAAACATTTTCCAAAGGCAAGCAGCGCCGAGGAGAGGAGAGAACCCTCCTCAAAGCGCAGGTCATAAAAATTAATATGAAAGGAAGAGCATTGCTTGAATAGACATGTGGATGAGAGAGGGGGGAGGAAGAGGTGGAGGAGGGGGTTTGGGAGGGAGAAACACAGACAGAGGGGAGAGAGAGAGAGAGAGGGAGATAGCGGATAGAACAAAGTCCTGTCAAATCAACTTTACAGACATTTCTAGTGTGATATTTTCCCCCTCCTCTAACTCAGTATACTCTAAAGCCATTCTCTCTCTCCCCCCGACCTGAACGTACCTGCGGGGCGGGCAGACAGACTCTGCGCATGCCCTCCGAGCCTGAATGCAGGCCGGGATACTTGGGCTCGTGCAGAGCCGGGTGCATGGAGAAATGCTGCTTGCCGTTCATGGTCATCATCCTCCTCCCTGCAAGCACCTCGCGACCAGTGTGGCCCCTGACATGAAAGCCGGGGAGCGGACAGCTACAGAGCTCCTGTGCTCTCCTTCACCAGACTGAGCTGTTAACATTGGAAGCGCCTCCCGGCGTCCCTCTCTTCCCCCCTCTTCCTCCCCTCCTCCTCCTCTTCTTTCAGCCTCCCTCCTCCTCCTCCTCCTCCTCCTCCTCCCCTCCCACCTGCTCCTCTGCTCAGCTTACTTGTTGCAAAATGTAGTTGTGCGCAAGTGTCAAATAATCCCTATATTAGTATAATAAAACATTGTTTATTGATGAGATGTTGGTTTAACAATGAGTTAACCGTTATTATGTGAACCTCTGTAGCCTATATTATTATTTCTGTTTAAAAAAGGTGCTCTGAATCAGGATTACGCACATCTCGCCTCACCTTTGTAACCCAGAATGGGTTAAAGGTGCCAACAATGGACTACAAAATGACACAGCGTTAAAAGCCTTTGTTGAGCCAATTGCATTTTCACGTATTAAACAGCATGAAAACACCAACAGCGACCACACATAGTTCAAGCGCCATCACTACAGCACCATGGACAGGGCCCAGGGGCCCCGCAGGTTGCTGACCCGGGGGCCCCTTCGCCTTCCTCTCCTCCCATGTGAGAACGCCCAAATCCTCGGGGCCGCCTTACAGGCTTCTCATGTGGCCGCCCGCCTTAAACTCATGGAACCCGGGGTTGGACGGGCCGAAAGAGGAGCCAGGCGGGCAGAGGTGCGCTGATGACACAGCGGGTCCATCCGATCCTGCCGGCCGCCTCTCTGGTTCCCCAGACTCTGAATAATTCAGCAGCGCGGTGGCAGGCATCCATTACCGCGTTGGCATGTTCTTATTCATTACACAGATTAAAACAGCCAAGGTCTTTTTTTTTTTCTCACCATGCAAAACCTGTTGCAAGATTGGGGAGCGAAACTTTTGAGAGCATGCATGTAGGCTGGCTATTTGCACGGCGATATAAACACATACGGGCTTTGTGCGCATGTTTCCATGACCTAACACACACATATGAAGACACTTTTTTATAAAGTTTGGTCGTTTTGATTTACCTGTTTAGCCTACATAAGAAATGCAACCACACGCATTAATTGCATTAATAATAAAATGGCCTAAAGAAACAAGGTGAGAAGCTGTGCAAGGATCCCGCTGGATTTAAGATGTTGGAAGTCCCTTACCTCACCCTCACACCAGCTTTCCCCCTTTTTCTCTTAATAGCTTTTGTATTGCCGGGGCCATTCATCATTTAGTGTTCATTGTTTACAAGTCTGTCATCTCTGTGCTGTTCATATTCTGAAGATTGCATCTGACATGTCTTATGGAGAGTGTTGTCATATCTGTGGCCAAATGACAGGCTTACACTCCACCAGGATGCCCTAACTACTGTCACTGCATTCATTCTTTGACCCAGGCTAAAGAGTCATTTCAGTAAAAACTGAAGCCTGCTTCTCTCTTGTGTTTACAAACTTTTAGAAAAAAACTGTTTTTTGTATTTCTTATAATGGATCAAAGTCAAAATTCAATTGTTTGATTACCTCTGCAAATATGTGGCCCACCTCCCCCCAAAAATATCATGAGTTTTCATGATTAGAACTCATAATTGAGATGATTTTGACTTGTAATTTTCTGAAAAAGTTGTATTATTTAACTCATATTAGTATTAGAAAGACAGCTCATTATTATTATTTTTTGGTCAAATTACTTTTTAATTATATTTCTATATTTATACCAATGTCAAATTTTAATGGAGCCCAGTTCCCCCAGTACTTGTTTCTTCACTTCCCAGTCACCGGTCCGCCACAGGACCTGCCACGAGCAGTGTGCCACTCAGGCCCCAGTTTGAAATCTCTTCCCTCTGGGAGAGCCGGAAGTCCTTGCATTAAACCAAACAGACTCTGAGTGTTTTCACTTGACTTCCTAAAGTAAGAAACGCTCATGCATTATTCAGTGATATTTTAATATGTCGTAGTCGCTGGGTGCTGTAATTAAACTGAGCATTGGAGGTCTTTTCCTGTGAGGTGGTGGGATTTGTTTGGGGGCATGGGTGTCAGTGTGAGCGCCTGTGAGTACAATGATGGGCCTATTCTCCTACACAGCATAGACACAATGGAGGGTGTAGAATTATGTTAACTCTCCAGTTAGATTTATCTTATATGTGTGCCCATACCCCACACAGAACCCCACACATACTTTGTTATAATTACGTTCATTGTGATTCAATGTTGAGAATCATTAAACCATGAAGAGGTCCTAGGGGAGAAAACACTTTCCAAGTATTGAACCCCATTAGTGATTACAGCAATTTTAGAAAACCTCTCATTTCTCACGTTCATAAAATACAGAATAAGGGATGTAAACTAAAGAATTAGTGATGGAAAATGAACAAATAAATCTTTTTGAAGAACTCTTTTGTACCAGGTCATCCTGTCGAACATACCGAGTGCTCACTGCTTATGAACGGCCTACTTTTCCCACTCGTACTGCCTACTCGCTGTTATTGCAGGGTACCGCTGTCACTGCCTGCTGGTGGTGCAGTCGCTCAAAACATAAGAAGTGGGACACCCAATGGATGAGAAGAAATCATGGACGTCAGTGACAGGCCTTTTCCACCAACGGGGGAACCAGCTCTGTTCCAGTTCAAGACCTAGTTTTGAACAGATCTGAGCATTTGGACCAAAACTGAATTGGTTTGAAAAGTTGGTTTCCAGTTGGAGCCAAAAAAACCAGCAGGTTTTCCTTGGGAACCAAAGTGGTCGTGTCATATTCTACAGGCTGTTGTGCATTGTGAAGTGCCCTCTGATAATGGTGCATCTGATTACAATGGTTCCACTCAAAACCGGTGGAAACACGGGCTGGTTTACTTGTTCCACGAATCTTCAATCTTCAATAACCAGAACTACATTGGTGTAAAAAGGGCCTGAGTGATTTAAGTCTTGTCCAGCACTCCATCCAGAGCCTGGCAGTTACTCTCTGACACTGAGCAAGACTGAATGAACCATTCACTCGAACTGGGAGGGAGTGGGACATCTGCTAATGACAAGTTGATGCAGTCAAATCACATTTCTGTAACATCGTGCATTGGGCTTACACAGCCTACCTACATACAAGTGGGATGCTGAATCTATGCATTAAAATGAATAATTTATCTTTATTAATATAACACAACATGGTGACTGGTAATACATTTGAAGAGGTTTTGTGGGCCAGGCAGCACTACCATGGCGGAGTGTAATGGGAAAAATTGGCGCCATGTTTTGGGAAAAGTACCAAAATTCGAAAAAGGTTTAAAACATTTACGTGAATCAATTCGAAGGATTGGATTCTGTGCAAAGGATCGGTAAGCACATCATTACAGAAAATAAGTAACTTTTGAGAGTAGTAGCCTTTTCTTGGACTTCCTACAACCAGCCAACTCTGATTGAATTAGAATTTGAACGCACTGCTGTACTTGAGTATTTTGAAGAAAGGTAGAATAAAAGTGGCTTTCAGTTACGCTGAGCCTCGTTCCTTTCTAAAGCAATTGAAGATTAATTTCCCAGGTACAAACTTAAAATATTAAAAGCCAAAATGCAATTTTTATGTGACCATGTGTAAGCAAATGACTGTCTGAAGTAAAGCTCTGTAGTATATGTAGTAAATAGTTTTATATTTAGACCTGGGGACTATGGGTAATTGTGCTCATATCTGCACTGATGCTGTGTGACATAGTGTTCTTTCCACCCTTTAGCACCATCTAACATGTTTCTATCAAACAACATGCAAAATGAAGGAGACCACACAAGAATTTAAGGTAATATTTTCTGGAATGCTTTTGCTCGTATTTTTTTTCCCCCTTGCCAATGTTGACCTCTTTTTGTCAATTTTCTTTCTTTAACTTAAGATTTTCTTTTTTTTCTCCTCTCTCTTCAAGATCCAATTCAAATTGTATTTTTTTCTTTTCTTCTTTTTTATCGTCTTACAAGCTCCCCCATTCCTCCATCTTTATTGGCAAAAGCAAACATGCTAGTAAATTAGAAATCCATTTTTTACAAACAAAATACATGAAGAAAATACATCCACATCCTGCAAATATAAACAGTAACAAATCCAAAACTATTATTCAATAAACATTTTACATTTTTTTTTTACACCATTGTGTGATAGTAGCATACAGAAGTACAAAAAGTGGGAGACCTTCCCTGAATCCTCACTTACACAAGCAAGAACCCTGCCAGTATAGGTTTATCCTTTTTAAACTGCCAGTGACCTCATAAAAATAAAATAAAAATAAAATAAATCACATGAGAAAATCATATTTAAGTACTAAGTGCCAAAGGGAAAAGCTTCAGCTTTCCATCGCACACCTAAACCTCATTTTGACTGACACGGTGACGTCAAAGAAAAAAAAACAAAAGATTTTAGTGGGGACAATGAGGTCACTGGCAGGAGGCTTCTGAGTAATCAGTCAACAGTGAGATATGCAATCTAAACAAGAGAACCACTGACATTAGGTAGGTGGGAGGAAATCACGTAATGGGTTTCAAACAGTTCTGCACACTTTTAAATACGGCACTAGTACCAGGAAAAAAGGAGAGAATTACTGTTACAAGTTCTGTTACTGACTGTATAAACACACAGGCATAAATCTGCGTGTATATTTACATCCAGATTTGTATATGCATGCAGATTTCTGCCTGTATGTACAGCATGTACAGCTACAAGTTAAAGTCTCTCCTCCTCTCTCATATTGGTGCTTCTGTGTGACCGGTTATGTTAATGGATATGATCAGTTTAGTTGATTTATGATAAGCATACATCAAATAACACTTAATTAGGCTGCATGTAAACATAGTTATTGGTTTCAGAAAAGCAACAAAAGTAAAAACTTTAACTTTCAAAAATGTATTTTCTTGCATCGAGCATATTTCCATATGAACTTTAATGAATTTCTTTCCTCCCACCTTGAGGATTCTAAAATACATGTAAAGAAGGCAAAACGCAAAATCAAATGTGATCTCATGAAAGGTGCACATTGTGGCTGCACTTGTAGAGTGGGTTTAGAGCATTGCCTGACAATACTCAGATGCTGGCAAAGCTGCACTAATGCACAAATAATATTGTGAGGGGGTGTGACTCCTTATGCCTTTCAGTGTCTTCCACAGCAGCTCTGAAAGTGTCTTTAAAAAGAAATGCGCTACTCAGATGACAAATTTAGTGAAATAACAACATGGACTGAGTTGAACACAAATGCACAACTCTTGTGAATAAGCAGAGACACTAAGCACTCTTGCTTGACCTTTCCTACCTGACACACAACCTTGTCATCCATTTAAAATGACAGAAAAAGAAACTAAAAGAATTAAAAAAAAAAAAAAAGAATGTACAACAGTAATTTCTCTTTCAAGCATTTACAAAATTTACAAAAGTAAATCACAAATCTTGTAAAAATTCAGCCATCCGCTGATTGTGTAAGGCAAAGAAATTATTTATACATATATATTAAAATCAACTGTTCAGTATTACATTCAAACACCTGTCTATGGATCTCACATTTTTTTTTGAAATAGGTGATCTGATCCGTGTCCTGTCAGGCCCTTTGGACGGCCGGGAGACAGAATTAAACAAGTGAAAAATGTTACACACTCTTAGAAAATGTAGAACACCCATGTGGGTGCTTATATTTACACAGAGTGGCACTGGACACTTTAGGGAGCAACGAAACACAAGTGGGGAAAATTTGAATATTTACTACGAGGACTGAATCTGACGTGCATGGACATGGCAATTTGTAAACATAGTTTGGATTTATCTATTGCACTGGTATCCTTCCGTACCTGCACTGGCTCTAATATGGTTATGGTACAGTATCAGCACCCTTGGGTGCTGGGCAGGGGAGGCTCTGTTTATTTGGGAATACAACATGCACAAACTAGCATGTGTTCATGCCAGGACAGAGAGCCACAGTTAAAAATATTTGAATCCTTTTTGGGCAAACCCATACCAAAACAAACTGAATGAAATGGGAAACCACACCATACTATGCCAATGTAGGTAATGCACAGTGCATTTATGCAGTGGAAAAATAAATAAATATATCTCTGGTAGCAACAGAGAACGTTCTATTGGTGAAGGAATGGCTGCCCCTGAACTGAGGACAAGATTTTTCAAAAACTGGTGAGAAAAAGAGCTTAAATACAGTATGTATAAAAATACCTATTCACAGTAGACACAAATGTTGTGCATTACTGATATTTATCATCTGGTAAGCACACTGAAACTTACATAGGTTTTTCTATCTATAAGAACAACTTAACATTTTTCTTTCTCAGCAAAAGTGAGATGTTTTAAATAATTGTTTAGTCGAGGGATACAAAAAAACGTTAGCCCTCTAAACTTCTTTTCATGTACAGTAAAGTAAAGATGTTTTTACTTTGATTAGAGTCTAAAATTACTTCGTCTGAAAATACTGGAAAGGAAAAAAATGAGTTCTGTATTGATTTTATGTGGGGGAAAACAACGACTGCGGCTGCAGAGCAGGTAATGACCAATCACAATGCCTTCATCGTCTCCAAGATCGGCTCTCGTACTCGTCATCTTCATCGTCATCCTCTTCCTCCTCCTCTTCCTCCTCCTCACCAGGCAAGTAAGAGCTAACTTCCTTCTGTTTAAGTAAAAAAAATTAAAATAAAAACCCACAAATCTCCTGTTTAGCTGTGAACACTTAAACTGATGAAGTGATGGGTTTTTTTAATACATTTTCTTTACACAGCAAAGGGTCTCTTGTCAAATATGACTTCTCATGTAGATCATTGTCAAAGCTGTATCACACACAAGAAGGTTTCCGAATGAAAATCTTTCATTTCAACCAAATTGGCCCCCACCATCTGTTTCTAATATTCTGCTGCCTTCATGTAAATGTGAGTGAACAACAAAAACGAACATTATAATCTTCAAAAGAGAGGTCATAATGGCCTGGCTGTTGTGCTGAATGGCATTAGATTGTACAGGTGAATATTATAAAAGAGGGGACTATTACATATTTTCATGTACATTTTACAGCACAAAATGGAAGTGCAGACTGGCAGCATGGTAGACTACTGAGGCTTTCTGGAAGATATTTAATAAATGACCACCCCCACACACACACACACACACACACTACACAAAACAGGCCAATTATATAAAAAATGTTGGTGTGAAAGGGAGAAGGCCTCAAGTTAATCAGCTTTCAGAGAGACTCTTCAAATCAAATCATTTCTAACTTTGCAATAGACATATTTTCAAAATTATACAAAGCATATTGAAGTAATGGAATCGGCGCTTAGATATAAAAATTAAAAACTTACTTGAACACAAGGAAGACTGCAACCTCAAACACACAACTCAACAGTAATGCAGTGTTACTCAAAGGGCTAAAATGCTCTTAGTACTGAGAGGCTTGCCCTGATTTTCCACTGGGAGCTGCAGTGAAAAATTTAGAAGCACTGGAAACAAATGTACAACTAAAATCTGTGAATATAACTAAAACTTCCAAAAGTTTCCCCACTTAGGATTTCAGTTTGTACTGTACATGGATTCCCTCTCCTGGTTTCTGGGTGGCTATACACTACTAATGGTTACACATGAAGCCATGGTTCCACATAAGGTGCCTGGGTTTGTGTGTGAGGTGTCGTACCGTATTGTCCTCATCTTTAGCCTCTTCCTCTTCTGGCTCTGTTGTAACAGAGGGCATCTTGGGCTTGTACCAGGAAATCTGCAGCACGCGCCCTTTAAACTTCGCTCCCTGGTTAGCTGCCTAGAAAATAAAACAAGACAACTTCAAATTCTGCTTACAACTTTCACTGATTTTTTTTTATCAGTGATGTCAAAAAATTATTGTAAGAAAAAAATCATTTGAAGGATTTTTGGTGATGAGGGAGGAAAGAAGAAAGAAGAAAGAAAGAGTAAGAAAGAGGCAGAGCGAGACTGGTCTGATTGAGCCATGTGACTTACATTCTCTGCTTCACTTCGTGTCTTAAAGGTCATGACGACACTGTTGGCGTCTTGGTCACGGACATCCTCGACCTCGCCAAATTTCTAAGATTAAAAAGTAAAAAAAAAAAAATAAATCTGTTTGAATTTCTGTGTAGTTGTTTAATAATTAAATTCAGTGTAACTGCTCTTTAATATTTAATGTTCTTTAACTAAATAATAATTAAAAAAAAGAAAGAAAGAGTAAAGCAGTTCTCACCACAAAGTGCGGCATTAGCTCTTCCTTCTCCTCCTGACTGACCCCCAAAATAGCCAGGGCTCTGGGTCTGTGGTCAACCACCATACGGTTCACTGACCCACTACGAGCCATCATCTCCCGGCTTCGGCCCCTGCCACGGCCCACATGCATCGAACCGGGCTCCAGCGCCATCTTCCCTCGGCCACGACCCCGACCCGCTGGAGGCCGGATCAGACCCAACCGAGTTGCCTAAAAGGAGGACAGATCAGGAGGTTTAATGCAGTTCCCGCTGTTTTTCAATACACACCGAAGAATAGATGGGCGACACCTGGCTGTGTTAAAAAAGTAATTACGAACAGATGTGGGAAACAGATTGCGCCTCAGTGTTTGCTGTTGTGCTTTTCGATGTGAAATCAGACATGCCAGGAAGCTACAGTATGCTGATTTATCATGTATCTAGGAAAAAAAAAAAAAAAAAATCTAGCATGACAAAATGATCAGCTCTTAAATTTATACAGTGAGTTTTCTCTACACGCTTGACTTTAGTCTCCTCCTCAGTCACTCTCTGCCCTTTACCATTAGTTTGTCACTCCTCCATTTTTAAAGTGACATCTCCTCGCTTCCTAACCACTCCACAACCTCACAACCACTCTCTCTTCCATTTGTCCCTCCCTCACTTCTCCCTCTAATTGTCATCCTGCGATTTTCTTACAAGGACCAGCGGCTCAAACTTTAATGAGACGCGGCTCCATCTGCGTTGGACCTGTGTCTGATTTGGCTTCGTTAGCGGCTGTTCCTCTGGGCTTGCTTAAGTGGCTGCAGTTTAATGTGCAGAAGGAGGGTCGGGTATGCATTTTTAACAACTAGCTAATTTAGGACCCACAGGGGTAGAGGGGAAAAAAAACATGCCAGGGAGGGTGTTGCTAACAAAAGCTATGTTCTTGTTCGGCTGATCTTGTGACACAGGCGACCTCGTCTGTGTTTGTGATGCCGCTAGTTTGGAGGGGAGAGGAGATGTTGGCCAAGTCTGAGCTGATTAACAATGGTGGATGCAGCTGAGAGCAGAACTTTTCTTTTCATGAACAAACTAGAATTACTGCACGATAGTTGTAAGCATCCGCCAATAAGTCATTGTTGCAGTTCACATCCATCTCTGTCCAGACTCATAATATATGTGGTGAAGACTTAATAAAGTGTATTTTTTGGCTAAGTGGAAGTGGATGTTGATGGTAATTTAGAATCTATGATTCCGGTAAATATACATTTTTAAACACATCATCATAGATGTATTGGCTAAACAGGTACACATGTATGGATTCAGTTATACACAATGTTCTACTTTGTTTTCTCCTGGCATTTTAGATGCAAAGCCTCTCTCCCATGCAGGTTCACGTTTGGCTAGGCGCCCTCTAATACGCTGTTGGCAGTCACTTGTTTCTGATTATGCCTGAAGGTCAGTATGAGGGAGTAAGGTAGAGGCAGAATGGATGAGATGGAAAGATGAAAGTCCATCCTGTGCTAACTATTGTTTACTCATTGTGTCGTCCCAGTCAACATGTGTGTGAAATCTAGAATCACCCAGTTCATTCTTAAATTACGGCTAAAATCCTATTTTGATGTCAAAACGACCTTTGTTTTTTCCCCCCTAAGGATATTACAATGTCAGTGACCCTAACCTTTGACCACCAAAATCTAATCAGTTCATCCTTGAGTCAAAGTTGATGTTTTTGCACAATCTGAAGAAATTCTCTCTGGGCTTTCCTAAGAAATAGCCCTAACAAGAATGAGACAGACGGAGGGACAACCTCAAAACATATTGCTGTATTGTTGCCTCCCTTTGCAGAAGTGCTTTTAACCCAGAACCTATGAGAAGTGATTAGGGTGTTCACATTACTTTGCACTTTTCTACGTACATACTATCAGGCAGTGCTGAGTGACATATGTGACTACTATCTAATCTGCTCACTTCCTCTTAGGTTTTTCTTGGTATTACATCCTCAAACTCACCCTTAAAACACCCCAAGAAAAATGCTGATTGTGTGGGTGTGCGGTGTATAGAAACCTAAAGATAAATCCTGAGACAATTAAATTGCAGTGCAAATAGGTGATGATTCAAATTAGTAAGATAAAAAGTTAATCGTGATGCCCTTTTTAAAACAGCGAAGGACATCATCTACTTTTGACTGTGCTCGGTCGTTGTCCTACATGCCTTGTGTCAGTAGCTGTATCAAAGCACAATACATCAGTTACGCTTTTATAAAGAAAAAGAATTACGCATTGTTTTGCACTTTATACCTTACCTCGGAAATAAAAAGGAAATATAAAAAGATAATAATTTTGTCATATTGTTAACTCGTGAATTGTATGAACTCGTGAGTTAAGTGCGTTGTGACATTCCTAGTGGTGTCTTTATAGACTTGTTTGTTTTTCGCTGGTTACTGTGTGTGTGTGTATTACCTCAACTTGTAGCTGTCCCAGTTTTCTCTTGAGGTCTGTTGTGTCCTCTCCAGAGCTCATTTTCTTGTGAAAGTCTAGCTCAGCATCCAGCAGTTCCTTCTGTGCCTGGCCACATGTTATGTAAAATGAGAAAACATTTTGTTCACTGAATACAGAGAAGCAATGGAAAAAAAAAAGTGACAAACCAAGATGAACAGTGAACACAAGTTTTGTGAATCCTCTGACTAACAACAGTGTATAGTGAGTGTTAAAATGTACCCACAGCTTACATAGTAACATCATCTATGGTGCAAATGGAGGGAAACACTTGACTTTTGCTCGACTCTCTCTGTGTAAAAGATATGATGCACTTTTTGTCACGCTCTGGGCCAAATGGGCCCAAACTTACATCAGTCTTGGTCTTGGGCTGGCTGTTGTTGGGTTTGGCGCTGGGGACCTGCAAGGCAGGGTTAGGGTTCATTTCGTTCTGCAGTTGTGCAATCTTCTCTGTCAGCTCCTTCAGGGTCTTCATGATGTTTGCTCTCTCCTCAGGTTTCATCCCTCGGTTTTTCTCCAGGCGGTTTATCAATGCCTGGAAGCAGAAGCACAAACAGTGAGAGAGAAGAATGTGTAGACAGGGAGGGGAGAAAAAAGGAAAGGAAAGGGTAATATGACAGAAAAGAAGGGGAAGCGGCAGTCTTACCTTCTGACACTCAATCTGTGTCTTTAACATCTCTTGCTTCTTCTTTCTCATGTCTTGCTGTAGTTTTAGTGCCTCCTAAATAATAATAAAAAATACAATAAATAAAATACATTCAATGAGGTTGAAAACACTATTAGCTGTTCATGGAGATTTCCTTTCTCAATGGTGGCACCTGAGAGAAACAAATGGCTAACCCCAAACCTGCTATTCTCCTACCAGACAAATATGTATTACAACATTAGGCAACGTGCCTGTTTCTTCTTGAGGACTTCCTGTGCTTCAAGTGCTTTTCCTGTTTTCCCAAGGCTCTTTGAGGAGGACTTGAGGGCTGCGGAAGAGTATGGGCCCTTCTGGGTGTTTGTCAGTGCAGATGCCACCTAAGTGTCACAAAGAGAGAGAACAACACATTTAGGTAATCAGAATGAGTTTGTAGACAAATAATTTAAAAAAAACATTAAGCGCCAACCCTTCATAAATATCACTCACTCACTCACACACGCACACACACTTAAGACTAAAACATACAGTGACGAGGTCTGTGTTTGGGTTCAAGCTGTCCGGCTTGGTTGTGGCTGTGATTCCAGCCACTGCTGGCAGGCGATGCTTGGGTACAGTGTTGTTCAACACGTAGGCGGCTGGACTGTGCTGCTTGATCCCCTGCTGATAAAAGAAAAAGGGAGAAAATTTGATGAAGGGTTTCAGAAATGTGGCAAGACTACGAGATCAGCATGAAAAGATGAAGAACTTGTATATGTTTCTAATATTGATACTAACCTTATGCATGTTGCCGTGTTGCGGCCCCTGGCTGGGCACTGACCCGGCCGCCTGGCTCCCTGAGCTCTGCTCCTGCTGTTGGAGCCCTGTGGCGTTGGTGCCGGGCTCGCGGTGCCAGTAGACACGAATGAAGCGGTTGTTGAGGACTGCCTCGGTGCTGGATATGGCCCGTCTGGCCTCTTCATTCTTTGTGTACTGGATCAATGCCGCCTCTGGGTCTCCGCCAAACACCACCTGGAAATTTTACAGGTTAGTTAAGTTTATATAACGAAACAAACTCTTCTCCAGAGCTGAATTATGGCATCATCCACAGTAGCACAACCACTATTCAATCAGGTGATATTTATGTTACACACTGTATTCTAGGATTCACATTATATCATGTTCAAACAGGCTTAACAGGCTTGTGATGGTTAACTCGGATTATAGGCCTACTGGTCATTTTCCCAAGTCGTGTTGAGAGTGTAAACACATACGTGAACCATGTATAGAAAATATGACAATCTGTTACATTTTGTCCTGCACAGTTTGTCTGCCGTGTGTGTTAAAAAAAAATGCACAGTAACAAGTGATGTATTTTACCTGGATATTGACGATGGTTCCAAACTTGCTGAAGTGCTCATTGAGTTTGGTGATGTTGTTGAGCTCACGTGGGATCTTACGCACCTCCAACTTGGTGTTTACATAGTGATACCTCTTGGGAAAACTGCTCTTATGTTGGTTGTTAAAGTTTGGCCTAAATCAAGAAGAGAGGACAAGCTAATCAACATTTTGGGCAAGATCTTTAACAACAATAAACAGTGAAGAGGGACCCAGATTGATGGCCTGAGGTTTGAGTTTCTGTCTTCAAACTGAACATCCATAACAGCTGACCAAATATCAACCTGCTTGACACACAAGATGGATTACAAGCAGAGGCTTTGCAATGGAAGCATCCTTGTCATGAGGATGATTGTATGCACCTGCGTCCCACAGCTGAGACAAGAGATAGGCTTCTGACCTATGAGTCACCTTGGCTTGAAACAAGGCTCCCTTAGCAGTAACAGGAAATGGCAGTGGAGGGACCAGTTTGTTTGATCGAATTTCAACTGGCCAGCTAGTTTCTTCACCAAATAAGAACCTGTTCACTGAAGGTATTAAGTGTCTATGGTCACTCAGAAGTCTACATGCCATTAAGGCATTGATAACATATCCAAATATGTAAGACTAAATGCAGTAGTGCAAAATCCAAAGTTCAGAGCTTCATTTAAAATTAATCTTAATAGGCAAAACTTTTCTCCCTTTCAAATTTTAACATCTTATTTTGGAGTGAAACTTTACAAATATGCAGATGTCTTTGAATTAGGGATGTCATTTCATATTTTTTTTTATCTGCCAAGTCCTGATTGGATACTTATTTAGATAATACAGTGCACACGTCAAGTTCATTTAGGTTATTAAAATCAATCCAATGTATAGGCTTGACAATTTGATAGCACTGCATTGCATTAAGAAACAAAATGACGCTGTTCCTTAATGTTTTTTTCCTCTCTCCAGTGAAACTAAGTAGTGGGTGGGGCTGCTCCTGCTTTCACACACCCACAGAACAGAGTGGAGGAAAGAAACAGCAAGGGAGTTGACGATGGCTGCACCATGCACGAAAGCTTTGTGAGTAAAGACAGCTGACGTAAACCAAAAGATTGGATCAATAAAGATTAACATAGCCGATACGATCAGTTAAAAAAAAGCCTTGATCGGCGCCAATACCGTTCGTTGAGATTGGATTGGGCCATTCCTACTTTGAATTCTTACTTTTCCATCCAGGGTTTTTTAGCTGCTGGTCCCTCAGCTGTACTGGGCCCCATGGTTCTCTTCCTGCTGTCCTGATCTGCGTTGAAACGGGAGACATTACTTCCAGGAGTACTGGCTACAGTGGCAGGCTCCGTCTGGATCACTATGTTGGCAGCTGAAAGACACACACGTAGACAAAAACACAGAGAAACACTGATTAACACTAGGAGCTTTTGCATTTGGTTATATCCACAAAGCTGTCCATCATCATACAGAACATTTATCTTTGGACCCTGTCCAACATTAAAAACTTAAGTCCAATAGTTCCCACTGCCCATGATTAGTGAGCGGAAGAGTGTCAGTACTAAGAAGGCCAATAAGTGCTACCTCTGGAGCCTTGTCCTTCGTTAGAGGTGAGGCCGATGAGGTTGGAGCGCTGGGTCTGCACCCGGGGAATGAACTGACGGTACTGGTTACGACTTGCTGCAGTCAGTCCTGGAGATTCTGGGTTATAGCCCTCTGGATCATAGTTATCTAAAGTGTAAAAATGAACACACACACATACTAAATATAATACATTTTTGCAGTCATAAAAATGTGAAGGAAAAACATAAATACCAAAATATTGACACACAATAAAATTAAATTACACAATGATACCAAGCAATCCTACATACATAAGTAACGCTTGGCCTTTGGTGACTTATCTAGCACAACAATCTTTTATAGATTGTGATGAGTTTAAATGTGTCCAATAGAGTGACAGAAAACTATCGCATGCTATGTTAAATACAGTTCCGAGTAGTTATTTAAATAAATAAATATGTAATATTGGCAAAAATATAAACAAATGCACAAATGAAAAAAATAAATAAAGTACAATTATATCAACAGAAGAAAAATGGTAGAATATAATTAACAAAATGAAACGCCATAATATAATAATTCTTATCCTGAGCCAGTTTACTGTAACACAAAGGCAAAATTTAACATTTAACAAAATGGGAGCTTTCGTGGCAGTTGAGAATCTAGGTCAAAAACCTGAATTTGTAATAAACTAAAAATAGACATACTCCATTTGAACTATGCCTTAGCTTTTTTTATAGAACTGCATAATTATTCACAAGGTGAATTATGGGGAAGCACACACAATAACATGAAGCAGAGTTAATGTTAACTGCTCATGGCCACATTGTCCCTTAGGTTAATAAACAGCGCAACCCTCTGGTCAACAGCTGTTACTGCAACATGAAGAAATACATGTACATTACACACTACATCACACCAACTTAAAAGTGACAGAAAACAGAAAAACAGTGTACTTAAAAGTTCACAAAAAGCAACTTAACAATCACTACAATTATTGTTCAACTTTCATTTATAAAGTCCTATCTACAATAATTAATTGAACAAAAAATAAAAGCAGAAGGTGGAAAGTAGAGCCACAGCAATGTCGCCTCCAAACAACACAGGCCCAATCTGAATAGGAAAAGCATCGCTGCTTACATTCAGACTGGACATATTGGGGACGAAGAGACACAGATGAGGACGAGGAGGGAGGAGGTGGAGGAGGAGGAAGAGTAGGCGGCAGTCCCACACCAGGTGGTCCGATAGGAGGAGAAGAAGTGATTGCAGATTGGTGGTTGGGGGTATCAATCCCACTGGTTGCTATCAGTGGGGGTCCTGAGGGAGACACAAGCCCAAGCTAATGTCTCAGGTATATTGCAGGTATGACAGAGAGTCTTTGGTTTCAACTACTAAAACTTTTATGTTTGACAGTGAAGGGTGAAGGTGGAAGGCAGCAATAACACCTGTTCAATGCAATGCTTCAGCTATAATAAACAATACATTGTGCAACTGATTTACAGAAAATCTGAAAAAAATCCTAAAGCAATGGGCAGAAGAAGCCACAATCTGACTGCAGTGTTTTTATCACCATTTCATTTTAAAAAAATAAAGTATATTGGAGTGAAAAATCAGTATGCTCATTAACTTGTATTCATGTAGCAAGAACAAAGATTCAAATAATAAGTAGTATTATTTGTATGCACAGATTTGGATGTAAAAACATAGTTGACTGAAGCCGTCATTGGTAATCACATAACAGCTCACTTTCAAATTTAAGATGTACAAAAGAGAACTTCTCTGGTTAGTGTATGTGGAACAAGTGCAAACTGACATCTCAGACATAATCCAGCCTCAAAACAGAGAAGGTCACACAACCAGTCTTGGAAAGAAATGTAATAACTTCACTATTTAGATCCATACTGTTTTTGTTTTATACCTTCCACTTACTTTGCCTCCAAACCAAGGTTGTTTTTTATCCATATGAGCATGTTTTAAACTGCACAAAACAGTCATAATCAGGAGACTAGGGCTGCACAATATAGTAAAAAAAATAAAAATAAAAATCACACTAAAATACTTTTGATAGATGTTGCAACTGTGATATGATTCACTGTTAGAATGATAACTTTTGCAACAAAATTTCATTTTCACTGAAAAGTGCAATTAAAATCAGGAGAATGGGACATGTTTTCTTATGTCTGGAGAACACATTTTGTAGACCAGGGCATCTCTGCAGCACAACATTACTTCATTATAATGAAGCTTCTGCAATTTGGTTATTACAATTTTCACAACATTTTGATTAATTGTTCCACCCTATTTCAGACATAATGTAGTCTCTACTGATAAATACTGTATACAGCAAAACTTGATTTCAAAGAAATTATGTTATGGATACAGTGTAACATAAAATCAAAATGTAGATTCTGTCAAATTTGATCTGTGCAACACTTACAGCAGTTATAACATATAACACAACATACAATCACAATATTTAACTTAACTGGTGGTGAAAACCAGAAAAGAGGTAGTCACTTAGAGATAACCATAATCTATGGGAAATGTTTTTTCTAAATAAAATCAACTATATCCACTTTGTGGAATTAATAAGGGATTACTAGATGTGGAGGACAAAGTCATGGTGCAAACTAGCTCTTAAAAAGGAAAATAACTAGCTGCAGTGGTTTGTAGAAATGTAAAGTTATCAGTCGCTTTCACAATTGGAAAAAGCTGCTGTATATATGTAACTATGCGATTTACACATTGGTGTGGCGGTAGTACTTACCAGTCATGGGGAAGATGCCCGGTGGTGGTGGCTGGCCAAAGGGTGGCATTGAAGGCATCCTAAGAGGAGGGGGTGGCTCAGTGATCGGGGGCATGGGCAGGCCAGCGGGGGGCATCACAGGTGGGGGCGGGAACGGAATCATGCCCGGTAAATTGACATCATCAACGATGAGAGGGTCATTGCCATGGTCGAATGGACAAAGGTCTCCACGGACACAAAATCCCTTTTCTGTGTGAGGGAGAGAAAAAAAAAAAAATAAATCATAAGCAAGATCTTCAGTCTTCTCTGCACTTTTTCTTCAAATACTTTTAAATATGTATTTGTAATCTGCTATAATACATACTACATACATACTATAATAGATACTCTTGAATATGTATTTCACAACCATACTGTATGTATCTTCTACGCACAAAGATCTTTATTGGGTGTGAATGCTAAAAGCATGTTTTTATTATTTTTCAGCGCTTAACTACTTCCACATTTCCATACTCTCCGAAATATTCCAGTTTTTTTCCAAAGATGTTTCCCAAGTCCATTCCTTATTGAGAATTCCCAGTTTTTCTCTTAACCACTCATTCATACTTTCAGCTAGAAACCTTTCTGACATTTTAGCTATCATTTCAGTTATCTCATCTGCAACCTGTTGCCACAAATTCATACATTCACTTAAAACGTTCATGTTCATTGTTCATCTTTGTCTTTATGAGCTTCCAAGACAGGAGCACCGACCATCAGAAGAAATTTCAGGAGTGAAGCAGAAGCAGCCACTTCTTCCAACAGCTAGTGTGGTCACATTTTTGACTCTACACACACACACAAATCTCACCAAATGTGGTAAGCAGGCTCTCGTCTCACGGATAATATCCCAATTTTGATGACAGGAGTTATGGTCTGGGCTGTATAAGCATAAACATGACAGTTGCGCCGCAGCTAAAATCTAAAATGAAGCCTCTAAGCCAGGAGACACTCAGAGCAGGCACCATCACCATGGCAACCCCTAATTGCAGTTGGCAAGGCACAGCTGATTGAGATGACCTGATTAACCCAGTTTAACAGGCAGACAAGCAAAGACAGATTTTCAAGTATTCTTCACGTTTTCTAATATTCAAGATCTTGACCACATTATAACATTTAATCAACTTTTCAGTTCCATTCAAAGCAATTTGATACTTTCTACTTATACAACTACTTTTCAAGGTATTCAGACTAATTTCTACACTTTGTCTTCTTATATATCTAATCATTCAGTCGGAAACAATATTAAACCTTATGAGATATATAACATTTTTTGTCCCATTCATAGTAATTACACTCTTTCACAGTTTTCCAACTCCAATACTCCTTCAGTTACTTCCAACAAATTAAAGCCAGTGATTCAGTATTGACAGCTTTTCAACACACCCTTAAATCTTCCACCTTTTATACATTAATATAATTTAACTTTTACAGCAAGCAATTCGGCCTGGTGTAAGTCAGCATTAACACTCGCAATTTCTTCAGAAATTGCATTCTCTAGTTGAAAATAATCTTTCGAAGGGGTTTTGGAAGTCAAATTCATTCACAAAAAAAATGGCAGAAAGGAAAATAAGAACAAATGAAACAGCAATGAGTAAAAATAAAGAAGATGAAAGATTGTCCTAGTTGAAAGCAGCTAAGACGGACAGGGCATGTATTTACCCTGCATCTCATTAAGGAAGTGGGTCTCCAGTGGCTGTGTTTGAGCACTGTGACAGATAGCAGTGTGCATCAGGGACATTGGGTAAGTTTAAACCCTCTTGTGTCTCTGGAGAGGAGAGGGAGTGCTAAACAGTGGTCATTAGTGATGTGACTAAACAAGGCAATCAATAACCCTCCTGGGAAGATAATGGTAGAGTTTACACAATAGCTAGAGCAAACTTTACAATGACCACGTCTTACACTGGAGAAATAGGCTCAATGTCAATAAGATGAAGGAAGGAATGTTTCATAGTAAAAATTGACAGATAGCAGGAAATCAAAAGAAAGGAGGAAGATTCACTGTTCCTACCATCATAATCCCTGCAACGCTGTTTGAGTGAAGGGCCCTTGTTGCTGAATGGTTTGCCGACACCGTCTTGCCTCTGGGTGCTGTAGTAGCCTGACCAGCTGTCTGTAGTGCTATCGGGCAGGTGAGCCGGTGTTGCTATGGGGACACCTCCAGCTCCTGAGACTCCAGCAGATGATGAGGAAGAGGAAGAAAAGGGATGTGGAGGTGTAGGCAGGGGCAGGAGCGGCGGCGGGTGCTGCTGCTGGGGGCCGGATGTGGTGGAAGAGTTATAGCAGTCGGTGTCCTTCCTTTCCAACTCAAACTTTGACTTGAAGTCTGTTAAAGACAAGCAGAAAAAAAGGCACTTTAACAAAACACACATACATAGGTATTGCAGTAAAGTAGCAGACCATGGCAGACATTGAAACCCTGTGAGTTTTAAGCATTTTAAAAACCGCTACTTATCATGCCAAATGCTTAAAGATGATTAACCTTGGAAGTAAGGCCAATTCCAGCCCATGTTGTTGAATCCCCACTGATATGACTGCAAAGCTGTCCACATTGTTCCTTATCGATAACACCTACAAGCAACACTGACCAACAATCCAACAGAAAATAATACAAACGGCTATATCCAGAACTCCATTCAGTCTCTTCTCTGTCCACATAACACTCAGGATGTCTCCAGCAGCACTTCTGCATCACTAATGCACTCGACTGTGCTGACAGGAGCTTCAGGAACTTCTACTCTCCTGGGTCTAGTCCCCTGTGCTGTTGTTATTGGTTTTGGAAGGTGGGAAGGGGTGGAGAAACGTTCTCACCTCTGCCTCCTCTGTGCTCCCTGTCCCTGCTCTTTCCTCTGCTGCCACTCCTGCTCCGGCTGCGGCTTCTGCTCCGACTGTAGCTCCTCCCGCGGGGGCTGCCCCTGCGCCGCTCATGGCGCTCCCGCTCACGGTGGGAGTCGCTGCCGCTTTTTCCGTGCCGATCAAAGTCACGCCGCTTGCGCTCATCTCGCCTCCTGTCATCGCGGCTCCTGTGTGGTTGAGTTATATTTGAATTACTATCTTTATGCCAGTTTTAAATGCAAGAGGGTTATAGCTGGATTGAATCTTAAACCAGTTAAGGCACATGGGTCTTAATGACTATATCAAATAAGGATACATGGTTCATATTTTATCTACATCTATTAATATGCAACTTGAAATCAGTTCTAGTGGCCTTCGTCTAGAGAACCATGCTTTAGGTTGAGACAAGCGGTTTTCAAGAAGCATTTATTTCTAATTTCCTTGGTTTTATAAGTATATTTGATGATATCAAAACACGGTGTTATTTTTGATCTGCTCCAAAGCACTGTGTTAATTTGTTGTTGCTGCTGCTGCTGCTTGTTGTTATGAAACCTCAATACTACTTTCAATACTGTATCTATTTTACATTTAAACTACTACAGCATTTCTAGATGCATACTCCCTTTCCTTCAATTGTTGTTTTGATTGCATTTTACAGTTTCTGTTTTGTCCTACCTGTTATTGACTAGGAGAGTTATAGACAAGGGACAGACTACTTGACACCTGGGCTAAAAGGAGTACTCGTGGGATTTCAAACTAACCATGCAAATGTAACCACGTTAAGATCTCTACACAACTCTACTATGCAAAATGATGTTTTTTTTTTTTTTAAATCAGCAGTAAGTGCAAGGTACAACAGGGTCCTGTGCATTGAAAATGTCAGCATGAGACAGGGATAAAAATGTTATATGTCTAATGTGTCAGAACAGTATCTGCATAAGCCTTGGGCTTGGTCATTAAGATGAGGTGAAACATATCCCTGAAGCCACAGCCATACCTGGACTCATTGAAGTCAGAGCGGTTTCTCAGAGGACTTCTCCTCCGCCTGTTTTCTCTCTCCTCCTCTGGAGTTTCAGCCTTGAGGGAAAAAACAATTACTTGACTTAAACTCTTCTCCATTTTGTTTTTAAGACATAAGATTCAGAACTGCAAAGATTTTCACAGTCTAGGGAGAATGGTTTTGAGTCAACATACCTGAAAAAATGCAGCATCCTATAACACACAATTAGATTTCTATCAAATTCTTTGATCCAAAGTCCCATACACTAAGAGCATCACCATTTTTTGAGTTAATGCTCAACATACTTATCTACAATATATAGCTAACTCTTCTTACCTCAACAACGTCAGATTTGACAGCAGGTGGTTTGACCTCCTCTTTAGGAGCTTCCTTGGCAGCGGGAATTCCCAGGTAGTTCTTGGTTGTCAGACATTCAAAAAGTTTATCGACAAATCCATTTGTTTCTGCAATAACAAAATTAATTAAAAATGTGAACTGGTCAAAAATGGCCACTTGAACTATGTGCAGTTTTGCCTATTCCACCTCAAAGAGCAAATTGGCCCTGAGGCAAGAAATGTTCCGAGATTCCTCTTGAAATCACACTACACAAAATAATTCTCTGATTCTGGCTGTGCTAAATATATTGTTTAGTCTAACACAGACCAAATGAATAACACAGAAACAGCATAGACCTTAAATAGGAAAAAAAATATGACACAATATAATAAATACTTATACAATATATTATTTATGAAAAGTACATTCAAGGAAGTAATTTAAACCATTTATTTGACTGCAATCTAAGTATTATATGTTAAAAACTACAGGTTGTGATAGTTAAGTTCTTTAGTAACTCTCTTTGTGTGCTGTGCTTTTGTGCAGGAATGGTAAAAGGGGCTAAGGTGGTGTTGCAAAGGCAAAGAACTAAACTGTTTTAAAACCCTGAATTGACAACATGTGATTGTAATTGCTAGAACATATTATTGCTTTTCTGTGATTATAATGAGGGTTAACAGTGATACCATTAAATGATGTCAACCATTCAAGAAAAGAGAGAACCACTCAACTCAAGCTAAACAAGTCGATGCTTCATGTTACATAGGCTGGAGACATTAGAGGGGGAAAGTAATTTAAAATGCTCTAACACACCCTCTGGTGGCCATATTGGTGACCAAAAAGTGGTAGATGGTTGTTATGTAGAGCTGATTGCCTAATCAGACATATTTTTTCATGTTTCTGACTGAATCTTCTTTCTCTTTAAAAAAATAAATATGAAAAATAATGTCTAATTTACTTCGTTTACAATCTATATGTTTAGCTCTTTCCTCATAAATGTGTCACTATTTACAAATAATCAGTTCAGTGATGGACCTCTATATTGCCACCGGCTGTGATTCCAAGAGGATTTGTGACATGTTTGCAGAGCCTCTATTGTCTGTGGGAGGCATGAGGGGAGTAAAAGCAATGTTTTTCCCTTCATAGCTGAACTATAGAGGAAAAGCCTTCTGCATTCACTCGCACTGGCAGAGCAGCTTTGTGTTCATACCTTTTTGTAGAAAGACATCAAGCTGATCAGCACACAGCGCTTTCAGCTCTTTCTCTGGTTTGTCCTTCTTCACAAGAGCCACCACATAGTTAGCTAATGCAGACGGGTCAGCATCACATCTGCAGGTTAAAATATACGTATTTTAGATGATGAAACAGGGGAGCATGAATTAAATCAACTGCAATATACTGTAGGTCAGTGAGGTGCACTGACCAGTGAGGTCAAAACAAAGTAGTAGTGAATAGTAAGTAAGACCCTTTACAATGCTTGCAGAGCAGAACATTACTACAAAAACTTCACAAAACAGCTTCGAAACTTTTAAGAACAAATTAAAGAAGGAATTGCAATCATTTGTTCCATTTAACAAAACCTTTACATGCCAACAGATTACACTAAAAAGTCCTCTCAGCCACAAAGAGGTGTGGCTATCATAAAAACAATACAGACACACAAAGCCCCAAGATATTGCTCTTGACAACTCCAAGCTAATATATAACTAACTACATAGCTAAATGACAAATATATGGCTATAACTGCAAACTATCAAAACTAACTTTGCTTCCATTTCACGTTAACAAACCAATGCAGTCAGTGTACCAGAGAATATAAAATAACAGACCAAAACACTGTGATCACACATTAACAAGTGAATGAACACAGGAATTGCAAATGGGCTTAAGGATTTGTTGAATAGGACATTACTGCGCCTGAATCTAAGCTACTTGTAATGAGAAAAAAGTCAGCGAGAACTCTCTCAGTAAAGTTAATTCAACTAGGTTCAATATAAAAGGCAACACTCTCCCTTTTCTTAAGAGAAGTGCAACACCCTGGCAGCACGTTCAAGAGCATGCCTTAATATATGAGACTATTACAGTCTCACACTTTCTACTCCTCTACACAGCAGAGCTCCTTTTTAACCACTGTTGCATATTAAAATCCACAAAAAAATGTAGTCATGCGCGTTCTTTGGCAACATCTGCAACCCTCAAAGCAATCTGGTGAATTTACATTTGAAACAGAGGGAGAAAGAGTAAAACAGTGTGTGTAACTATGGTAACCCAAAGAGAACAATCCTCAAAGTTATATTTATAAAACTGTGTTTAACTTAAGTTAGTAGCGCAATGCTCAACACAGTCTAACAGATTCAACACTTCTTAACTCTTTTAAGAGGCGGCAGCATACAAGTTTTGGCTGTCTGGTGCAGCTTGGTGGCTCGCTACAGAGCTGTAACAAAGTCACATTATCGTTGGCCAACAACGTGCCTAACTAACGCCACCCTCAAATAACAGTGCAACAAACGTACTGTATCGCAAACAATTTAAATTTCTTCAGCGCTGGCAAGTTAAAGTAAAGTCCTACTGCCTCTCTGTGCCATGAAAAGCCAGCTAGCGGCAATGGTGGTCAGCTAACTCGTGCAAGAATTTGCCACCAGCTTCAAGCAAGCACCCCATTGATGCCTAGCTAACGTTAGCTGGCGTAGCTACGTAGCATGCGAGCTAAATGTCATTTCAATTCAACACTCACATTGGCTCCAGGAGTTTTGCCAGCCACGACTTCAGGGCTTCAACATTCTCTATGATCATCGTGAGGAAGACTAGAATACTGTCTATAAAATGAAAGTGCGTTTTGATAACCCTACTTTCATCGTCTATAAATTTATAAGCTTTTAGGCCGTATGTGTCTCTCTCTCTCTCTTCACTGGCAGGTCGCACAAAGCGCTTTACGGCATGGCAACACAAATCGAGTTGTCGTAACACAGGGCCGGACGACGGACGTTATATCCCCGCCGTGTCTTTATTCAACTGCGACACATTCAATTCATATTAGCGGCCCTACCGCGGTGTATTAAATATATATGCTTGACAAAATTATTAATAGGCGAATAAAGACCCTGGTTCGTTAGATATTTAAAGATAGGACGGCTGAAAAGTTATACGGACTACATTTCCCAGAAAGCCATGCGGGTGTCATCAGCCAGGCACCGGTGCTGCTCGGTGGCGTGGGTTTCCCTTGTCAAACTGGAAACTATTTCTCCTGTGTCGTCTGTCTAAACAATAGAGTAGTTAATAGCTCGTAGTTTTGGATCAAAATGACGGTAGGTCCAATACTCTAATTATGTGTAGTTTGAAATTGTTCATGCTGGTTTAGAGGCTGTGGATACGTTTTATTTCATTAACTTACTGGAGCTATTAGCTAAGTTAGCTAGCGTAAGCTAACGTTAGTTGTCAAGCCGTCTGCAGGAATAGACTTGAAAGAAATCTGACTCAGACGGAGCAGAGGTTACAGCTGTTCTCTCGTGTAACACGTGTTGAATCATTTTTTTATTATTTTATTATTATTATATTCTAGTCTCGTGTATTCAAGTGTGTTATATTATATTCGCTGGTATTTAACAAGTATAGTTTTTGTTATGATGTGTAATCGGTTCGCTTGCAGCTATCACTGCACTGGCTTTTCTCTAATGAACCATCATCCTGCTCGTCATTGTATTCCAGGAGCGGAAGGGAACAGCAAAGTTGGACTTTTTGAGAAAGATTGAGCTAGAGATCCAGGAGAAATGGGAGAAGGAGAAGGCATTTGAGCAAGATGCACCGACAACAGTCGGGGAAAGCACAAAGTGAGTATCTTCTATATTCTGACCCTATGTTATATTCCCAAAATATAATTCCTCTCTTTCCTTGACCCGGGAATAGGTCAATTAAGACCATCTGTGGAGAAAGCTATGTGCATAATTTGCTGTACTCAGGAATGTCAGAGCAGTTTCTGCAGGTGTACTTCCTTCAAGTGATCTCCTCCTGATGCAGATATGAGCACCCATTGTTCTTTATAAGTATTTGGCATGTAAAGTAGTATTTCTCTTGTTGTTGTTGTTGAGGGAAAAAAAAGTAATGACAGTGTGACGCAACAAACATACCCATGTTATTTCTTAGTGCATGTCACTTTGCTTGTAAAAACATACCAGGTATGAAATCTATTTTGGTCTCGGAACATATTTTGATTAGCCGGTTTCTTTTTCCTTCCAGCAAAAACAAGTACTTTGTCACCTTCCCCTACCCTTACATGAATGGCCGATTGCATCTAGGCCACACGTTCAGCTTGTCAAAGTGCGAGGTAAGTTTTCATACAAAAACAGACAGAAATGAACTTTCTCAGTCTAATATCAGTCTAATAGACACTTGTGATTACAACATTCAACAACAATGATCCCTGTTCTCTAAGTTGCTGCTGTTCAACTTCTTTCTTGTAGTTTGCTGTTGGTTACCAGTCTCTGAAAGGAAAGAAATGCCTCTTCCCATTCGGGCTGCACTGCACAGGAATGCCCATCAAAGTTAGTGTTGTTTCTTTTTACTTGTTCAGTCCATCACATCAGTCCTGTATGCAATAGCATATATACATAACATATTGTTGGTATTGCCTTGGAACAAAATTCAGTGTTGTTGTTTTTTTTTTTACCTGTGATCTGACACCACGTTTTATTCAAGAAACACAATATTAGATTCTAGTACTCCATTTTCATTAACATTTTGCTTTATCAGCGTCTTCATAATTCATCCATGCCTTCAACCCCCCCTCACACACACACACATTGCCTTTTTTCTTCTTTCTTTGTATTCATACATCCATGTTGTATCCACCAGGCCTGTGCAGACAAGCTAAAGAGAGAGATGGAGCTTTATGGAAACCCTCCACAGTTTCCAGACGAGGAGGAAGAGGAGAAGGAGAAGCCAGAGACGTCTGATGAAATCATCATCAAGGACAAAGCAAAGGGCAAGAAGGTCAGGATCAGACTGATTGACAGACATTTTCCACATAGGAATGAAAAAATAGTACATTTAGTGAATGGTTTTTAAGCTAGGGCTCAAGTTCTCTTGTTCAGCAGTCACAAGGGTCGTTTGAATTAACATTATTTTTGTCTCTTCTTTTACATTTCTCTGTTAGAGTAAAGCAGTGGCGAAATCCGGAACTGCCACTTTCCAGTGGGACATTATGAGATCTTTGGGTCTGAATGACAAGGAGATTGCCGGGTTTGCCAGTGCTGAACACTGGCTGGAGTACTTCCCTCCTCTGGCTGTGAAAGACCTCAAACAGATGGGAGTCAAGGTGACTAATTATAATAATGAAACTCTATCAAATAACTGTCTTGAGATGTTTCTGGACTTCTTTTCTATACCTATGACCCTTTTATGCATTGAAATATGACAGGTAAATCTATACTTTGATTTACATTGATTTTAGGAATGATATACAATGAACCACTGAGGGTTCTTGCAGTGTCATGGGGATACATTATCTCAACACTTGTGTTAAGAGTTACACACTAAACTCCAATGACATACCTGTTGTCCTCTTTTTGTTGGTACCTAGAATTCACCACAGGTAACTGGCCCAGAGGATAATGAGATCTGGTTATTCATTTTAGTCAATTTTGCCTAAATCCTGGTGTCACTTCACAGGTGGACTGGAGGCGTTCATTCATCACCACAGATGTGAACCCCTTTTATGACTCCTTCGTCAGGTGGCAGTTCATCACTCTGAAGGAGAGAAAAAAGATCAAGTTTGGCAAAAGGTGAGGTGGTTTGGCAGTTTCTATGTAACTGTTTTATACTTATTTTATTATTTATTTTATTGTTCTGTAGCACTGACCTTGCAGTAATATAGCGAAAGGTAAACAGTATAGGAAGTGCCCCACAGTATGTAATATGTTCATGTCTTACACTTTATGCTTGTTGCTATCATTATCAGTATTATAGTCTAGCCTGAAACAATGTCCTGTAACAATGTCACATCTTTTCTTATCTATTAACTTGCCAAGCACAACTGTTTTTATTTTTTTTTTCCATTTTGCACAATACCTTGTAACATTGCACATGTGCAGTTACCCATTTCAGTTATCCATCTGGACCATATTCCACTGTATTGTATATATTTTTTAAGATTCTAGATTTGTATTACATTTTTCATTATTTTTATTTTATTACATTTTATTGTATTTTACCCCTTTTTCTGCTCTTTGATAAGAATAGATAAGAGGTTTTATTTGTCACATGCACAGTTATACATAGTACAATGCACAGTGAAATGCATTCTTTGTACCTGCAGCCAGTAGTAAAGAAAAACAAAATACTACTACAGTAAAACAGTAGTGCTTGCACATACAGTTGTGACCAAAATTATTAGCCCCCCTTATGAAATTAGACAAAACTCTTGATTTCTCCATGGAAATGGCCATTAACAACACGTGTTTGTTATTTTGGAAACAAATACACTACAAAGACAAAAGTTGACAAGGATTGATTAGGATATTTTATTGATACAATGAGTTAAAACAAAAAAGGGCAAAAATGAGAAATCCAAAATGATTAGCCCCCTGGCTATAGTAAATAGTGTACCCTTTCTGAGCCACAACTGACAACAACCTCTTAGAGTAGTTCTTTACTAGGTTGGCACAGGTCTCCTGAGGGATTTTGGCCCATTCTTGCATTGCAAATTGTTCCAGCTGGTCCAAATTGCGTGGTTTCTGAGCATGGACATTCACTTTGAGCACCCGCCACAGATTCTCAATAGGATTGAGGTCTGGGCTCTGTGCGGGCCACTCCAGGACCTTGGTTTTGGTATCCTTCAGGAACTGTTGGACCAATTTCGACGTGTGCTTTGGGTCATTGTCTTGTTGGAAGACCCAGCGACGACCTAAGGATAGACTACGAGCAGATTTCTGCATATTATCCCTCAAAATGTCAACATCATTTTCTTTTTTCATGATGCCATGCACCCAAACAAGGCTCCCTGTGCCTGAGGCTGCAAAACAGCCCCACAGCATGATGCTCCCACCACCATGTTTAACTGTGGGAACTGTGTTCTTAGGGTTCAAGGCCTCTCCCTTTCTTCACCAAACATAAGCAAGATCCAATTCCAGTTTAGTCTCATCAGACCAAAGCACCGACTTCCAAAACTCATCTTTACCTATCAAATGTTCACGGGCAAACCTCAGTCTGGCTTTGATGTGCCGCTCATTAAGTAAAGGGGTTCTTCTTGGACGATGGCCCTGAAGCCCACCACGATGGAGAGCCCTCACAACTGTGCTCCTTGAAACATCAACTCCAGAAGAGGCCAGGTCAGCAACAATCATCTTGGCAGATGTCCGGGGATTCTTGCTGACATCTCTGACAATTTTCCTCTCTAGAGTTCTTGAAATCTTGAGCTTACGACCACGCCCAGGTTTGTTTCTTACAGAATTTGTCTCCTTGTACTTGGCAATGATGCAACGTACAGCGGTTCTAGACACTGTGAAACGCTTGGAAATGGCAGTATAGCCTTCCCCCTTATCATGATCCTCCACTATCTTCTTTCTGAGTTCAAGACTGATTTCCCTTGTCTTTGGCATGGTGAGTAAAAGTTGTCCCTCTCAATAATGTGTTCAAGTGCCCTGTTCCTTGGAGTCCTTTTATGCTGATTGAATGTTCAGGTGTCGTGAGGAAGCCAATTGACTGCACAGGTGTGGTTTGAAAACTGATTGGTTAATTAGGTGTGTTTTTGAAGGCAAGAATTCACATGGGGGGAAATATTATTGACATCCCCTTTTTTCTCTATATTTGATATAAAGCAAGCCTAAAATGTTATTTTATATTCCAAAATGTACCAAAAGCTACTAAAAAGCACTGGTGAATGTTTGATTACATCGAGTTTTATCAATGCTGCAAACATTGGGAAGAATTTTAGGAAAATGTTCCATAATTCCTGGGGGGCTAATCATTTTGGTCACAACTGTAACACACAAGGTAAACAATACAAGTGTAAATATAAAACCAAGAATAAAATAAAATAAAATAAATATAGACTGTAATATAACATATAAAATATAGACTGTAGACTCCAAGTGTAACACTTAGAGGGGGGTAGCTCGTATATATACACACACACACACATTTACAGTATTGAAAGCAGCTATGTGAGTAAAGTACAGTGGTGCAGTGTGTTTTGTTTTGCACTACATTTTCCCTGTGCTGCTCTGCCAAATTTGAATTTCTCCTACGGGGGATCAATAAAGGAACATCTTATATTATCACCTTATCTTTCGATGGGGTAAAAGCAAAGTGAACATTTTGAAATGAAGACTTTGGTAGATAAATGATGTTAAAGTTTGCCTTTTAGTCTCAGGCAATTTAAGCTGATGTTATGACACTGCATGTTCTTTCAATAATATTATGTGATTGTCCCTGACTCATCTGCAGGTATACCATCTACTCCCCCAAGGATGGACAGCCATGCATGGACCATGACAGGCAGACAGGAGAGGTACACTTACCTACCTGGCTCAATGACATAGTGTATTAGTTTTGGGAAATTGTCATATGATTATGTATGATTGTGTTATTATTTTGATGTTTGTGACTCCTACGGCAAACAGTAAAAGGGTCCGTGTTCGCATAATTTTGTCACAATTTTGAGTCACACACTGCATTTGAAATTGCCATTTAGTGTACTGCACATTCACCACCCTACCTCACAGGGCCATTATCGACCATTTTTCCTATTCCTACAGTCTTGTGGGGATGAAGAAACTTACTTTGAAATGAGGCGATCTGAGAGCTTTATTTAGTTATTTTTCTTCCAACTACCATTTTTTTTCAATTGCAGGGAGTTGGACCCCAGGAGTACACTCTCATCAAGATGAAAATGGTTGAACCGTACACGGCAAAATTCAAGTCCAAAGTCTTTTATAGCAGGTAACAAACGCTGAATATTGAACTGCCAACACTGCAGGCAAGATTTACATGCACTTAAGCATAATCCTCATCTTGAGACAGAAGTTAAGTGCTAAAGCTATCCTTCCCACAGTGGCATGAAAGGCAAAAACATCTTCCTGGTGGCTGCCACTCTGAGACCAGAGACTATGTTCGGTCAGACCAACTGCTGGGTGAGGCCAGACATGAAGTATGTTGCCTTTGAGACAACCAGCGGAGACGTCTTCATCTGCACCAGTAGGTCTGCCAGGAACATGTCTTACCAGGGCTTCACCAAAGAAAACGGAGTGGTGCCAGTAATCATGGAAATACTGGGACAGGTACTAACTTTGTGTATTTCATGCTTCCATCTGCACATAAATTCGAATTAATTTAATTCAGTTGACTTTTACTTAATTGAAGCTAATGGTATAAGCCAAACACTATTAAGATGTATATCTGATATGATTTAAAAACAGTCAAGCAGATTGCATTTACGGAAGATTAAGATGAGGCCAATTAGCAGTGTAAATATAGTTGGAGGGACAAGGTTTAATGACTGTGCATTGATTCTGTTAAATGTATTACTTCTGTTCTACTTTCTGCTTTGCATCATTATTGTCTCTATCTAGGATATCCTTGGCTGTGCCCTGAGTGCTCCTCTGACCTCCTATAAGGTCATCTATGCCTTGCCCATGCTCACCATTAAGGAGGACAAAGGTACGAGTCAAGAAGTCAGGAAAAATAGCGAGATACATTTATTCAGAGATGTTGCGTTGTTTAATTCTTTTCAAGGCAGAAATTTATCACATTGGTTAGTGCATTTTAGTTGTCAAAAGGCTCCTGCAGTCAGAATAACCTTGAGTGGGGGGGGGGCACCTTACTCTCTCCTTTTTATGTGCCTGAACTTGAGTGAAATGCATCTGATAGTTGGTGAATAGTTCAACATAAACTACTCAAAATGTGTCGGTGTGTTTTATAGCCGTCTGCATTTTAAATAGGGATACTTTATTCTCGCTCATGTTGCTTTAGGTATTACTTTCTGCAGAAACTGTGCACCCAGCTGTATCCCCTATTCCCCCTTGTCTTAGATTTTGTTTGGTGCAGCTTATGGAAAGCCAGGCCAAGGTCACCGTATAATTTATAATGTGCTGTACGGTGATGTCAAAGGAAGAAAGTAATGGTTGCTTTCTTTGCCCAGAGGGCGAAAATTTGTAAACATATAAAATGGATCTAATTGTGCTCACACTGCAGCACCGTCTATTTTTTCTGGTCTGTGGTGCTCCAGGGGCATAGTTTGTCCGTTTTGTTTCTTGTGTATTTATGTAAATAGCCTTAATTGGAATTTCTGAATGACAAGGTTGAAATGTCAGAATTTCAATCTCCTGTGCCGCGTTTGTCATTGTGTTTTTGAGAGTTATGGAAAGAAGTGAGCGAGAGTGAACCTGCAACGACCTGTGACATTTATCAGTTTCCAGTTCATGTTTGTTTGTTCTCCTCCTTCTTAACGGTTTGTTAGTTGCTCCAGTGTAGCTGCTGCACAGTTGAAGAAACGTGGTGGCAGTTGACATTTAATAATTTTTAATGTGTATAATGTAAATAACAGTATCACTGAGATACTCATCAAATTTGCATTAATACAGTTTATGTGTTGACCTTTTGCCTATTCTGTGATTTCCTCAGGTACGGGGGTCGTCACCAGCGTACCCTCTGATGCTCCTGATGACATCGCTGCTCTCAGAGACATCAAGAAAAAACAGGTGACCTTGTAACTACATTTCTGCTATACTGCTATTCAAGGAGCCTTTTATACCTGAAATGAAGTCTGCTGCAGAGAAACTCAGAACACAGAGTCCATCTGAAACTTCAATGCAATTTAGAAATTAAGCTTTTGAAATGTTTTAGTTTGCTGTGCTATTTGCTTATGTTCATGGGCTGCCTAAACCATTGGTTATTCAGCAAGAAACATGACCATTTAAAGATACAGCTGCTATTTAACATCCACTACATTTATTTTTATTAATGTTGCTCTTATTCTCTGCATTTCCAAAAGGCTCTACGGGAGAAGTATGGAATTGAGGACAAGATGGTGATGCCTTTTGAACCGGTAAGCTGTTCTGTTTGCATTGAACACACCAATGCTAGTGAAAGATACACATTGGAAAACATGTTCAGTCTATAAAAGTTGCTAAATGTGTGCATGTCAGGTCCCTATCATAGAGATACCGGGCTACGGGAACCTATCTGCTCCTCTGGTGTGCGATGAGCTGAAGATCCAGAGCCAGAATGACAAGGAGAAGCTGGCTGAGGCCAAGGAGAAAGTCTATCTGAAGGGATTTTATGAAGGGGTGAGTCAACTTAATGGTTAATGGGTAAAAAAAAACAACTACATAGGTCAGCAAAATGCAAGCTCTCTGCAAACTCCCTGTGGATTTAACTTTAAGTTGGAAGCTTGTATGATTTATCTCCCAGAAACAAATCAAGTGATTCACACCATAAGGCTAGACTAAATGATTAATTAACTGGCTATTGGCTGCGTGTTGCCCTCAGACACTTTGGTTCTGTCTACTTCTGAAAAATTGCCTTATTTGTAACTTTTTGCTAAGCTCCTGTTTTTTCTTCTGTGACATTATAATATTAGTAGTGCTGTCAAATGATTAAAATATTTAATCGCGATTAATCACATTAATGTCATAGTTAACTCGCAATTAATCGCAATTAATGGCACATTTTTATCTATTCTAAATGTCCCTTGATTTCTTTTTGTCCCATTATTTTTTTCTCATTTTAATGCTCTTATCAACATGGAAAAGTGGATCGGCTTGCTTTGTGCAAATGTTGTTTTTATTTAAAACAACATTGGCATATACTGTAGTGGTCAATTTCACACTAACATTCTCACGTGGATCAAATAATCTCTCACACAATGTAACACTGTCCATCAATAAAAGGGTGAAAAAAATACTTTGTCACACAAACAGCCCCTTCAACAGCCCTTTCTAAGGGATCAAAACAGGACGATACAAAATAAAATTACAAAGTGCTCATGTAAGGTAAACTAGGACTCAGTCTATAGTGCAGTTAAACCATGGCTTAATACTTAATTGACGAGGGGGCGGAGAATTCGCATCAGCTGTGTGCTTGGCCACCAAGTGGTATTTCAGACTGGACGTGCTGCGATGATAGCTCAGTTCACGACAAAACACACAGATCACTTTGGTCTTTTCAATGGAACCATTTGGCAACTTTTTTAAAGTAAACTCTCCATTCAGAATATTATTGACATCCATTTTGGCGTCTCGCGCTCGCCATCCACTCAAAACATAACGTCTACCACTCTTAAACAAGTGTGTGCGGCGTGCCTGTTGTTTTGTTTCCAGTCTAGCTAGATCCGGTGTGGTGGTGTAGTTTTTCTAACGTTACTAGTTGTTACAGCATGTGAAAAAAACTAAAAAGTACTAGGTCAAAAAGAACGTTGATAAAGCGTTAACGCCGTTAATAACGTGTTTAACTGACAGCACTAAATATTAGTCATGTTTAAAATGTACAAATTCAGCATCAAGCAGAGCACAATTCATACGTATAGTCTGAGAATGTGTCAGTTTATGTGAATTTGCGACTGGAGAATGCACTGCAGAGACAAGGCCCACTTCTTGTTGACAGAACTACCAGAATAGTGAAAGAAATGAATGAAATGTTTGTTCCTGTGTCAGATCATGCTGGTTGATGGTTACAAAGGGCAGAAGGTCCAGGATGTCAAAAAACCCATCCAGAAGATGATGGTTGAGAGGGTAAGACATTCTTTTCTAATGCAAAGAAGTTAAAATAAAGGATATTCAAATGTAGCAGAACAACTTTAAATTCTGACTGTGTCGCGGATTGTGTAAGTTTATTATGTCTGTGCACTTTGCATTGCTTATAGTTCACAATATTCCATGTATGATAGATGTTTGATCTATATTTGCCTGTAATAATGTTTGCTCTGATCTAGGGCGAGGCCATGATCTACATGGAGCCAGAAAAACAGGTCATGTCGCGTTCAGCTGACGAGTGTGTGGTTGCTCTATGTGACCAGTGGTGAGTGCAACATGAATTCTGATCACACGGATCTTTATATTATAATAAGTCTGTTCATTAGTAATGGTAAGAATTTATTTGACCTAAGTGGATCTGAAGCTGCATGGCAGTGTTATAGTAGTGCAAGGGAATAGACATGAAAATAACACGGTCAAGATGATTGTAGATCCTCCTTATTTTGGAGTGTAGAATGTTTCATGCCATTTTGGCTTTTTTTGATTAGCTGTATGCTGACGTGTCTTTCAGGTATTTGGACTATGGGGATGCAGAGTGGAAGCAGCAGGCCAATGAAGCCCTCAAGCCCTTGGAGACGTAAGACACTAACATCTAATCTACCAAGTTCCCTTACCCTGTCATATTTTGCTTTGTGCAGTGTTTGTCCTTGCTTGTGGGTGTTCCTGTGATTGCCTAGACAATCAAGTATGGAGTGTAGAAAATAAATGTAATTACTTTACTGCCTGTAAATATACTGAAAACTGATAACCAGTCTCATCACGTCATGTCGAGTCTAAAAAGATAGGTAACTGCATTTACTTTCTGTGATTTAATGTGCTCTATTTTGCATAACACTACACAGATTTTGTGAGGAGACAAGGAGAAACTTTGAGGCCACTTTGGCTTGGCTACAGGAGCATGCCTGCTCACGTACCTACGGACTTGGTGAGCGCTTGCCTCTATGGTTTGTGTGTTTGTGTGCGTGTGTGAATGATTGTGTCAGGACTGCAGTAACTGTTAATATAGGATATAAATTTGTTGTTACTGCATTTTTCAAAGGTAATATAGTTTCTTGTACAGAGATTAAATGTGCCACCCTGCCAAAGATGAACAGGACTTCAAGTTTTGTAACCACTGTATGACTGATGGTTTTGGTCTATAGATGGAGACAGAGGGCTGGTGATAAAGCACCTAGCAACAGTCTGCCTTTCTGTTCATACCGGAATAGATGCCGACTGAAGGCCAGCTGGCACACAGCACAGGCGAGCACAGTACAGTCCAGGCCTGTTGTAGACTCCTACTGTAGATAAATCTCCCCACACGTTTTCAGAATATGAAGCAAAGAGGTTTTACTGTATGGTGCAGGTTGTGCAGATTCCTTTTACTTGTGTCTTACTTGTAGAAAGAATATATACATTTATATTTTCACAGACACAAACAAACACAAACATTGTTCATACACTGAAAGCTCAAACTTAAAACATTTGCAAGTAATGTCTGTAATTTGATTAACGTGGTCACAGAGAAAAGATCGTTCATACAGAGAAGCCTATGAGCCATAGAACCCCACCACAAAGTATATGCTACGTAAAACTACTAAAACCTCCTTGTGCTGTCAAAACTTGTTTTTAAATGATGTCATATGTATGATGTTTTATTTCTCTAAAGTCTAAAAATGTGTGCAAGAATGGATGCATTTATTGTTTATTTGATTATATCAATATTTCATTATTAATGTTGCTCATATTCATGTAGCTACTGATAATGAAAATTAATTACAGCTCAAGCTTGCAGTAATTTTATGTTTTTAACCACTGAGAGCTGGTAAAAAAAATATCAATAGGCATTCACTGAAAATATTTGTGTGCATTTGTGTGTGCATTTGAGACTAGCACAGGCACACACTTTGCCCTAAAAAATACCAAAATAAATGTTTTAGGAAAACCAGTAAGTGGTGGCTGGTATTTCTGTCAAAGCAGCAGGTTAGGAACGAGTTTACTTCAGTTTATTTGACAAAAACATTTTTTTTTTTTTTTTTTTTTTTACATCTGAACTTGTTTGCCAAGGATTACATAATAAAGCCCAGGACTTATTCCATTGTGTTAGTGTTTTTCTTGGCACCATAATGTAACCAGCTTGACAAGATGGCAAATGCAACAAAAGATTGTGTCAGCTCAGAGGAGACAACAATTGTCTTTCTTCATAATTTTTAGTTCACTTTCTCCCCCATGGCTGTGTCTTTCTCTGGATTTGCGCTTATGTGTGTATTTATGTGTGTGTGTCTGTGTGTGTGTGTGCGTCTGTGTATGTGTGCGTGTGTGTTGTGTGCGCGCACACTCCTGGTTACCATAGGAACGCGGCTGCCTTGGGACGAGCAGTGGCTGATTGAGTCACTATCGGACTCCACCATCTACATGGCTTACTACACTGTAGCACACCTCCTCCAGGGAGGTGTGCTCAATGGACAGGGAGCCTCACCACTGGGCATCAAGTATGGACACAATAAATATATATATATATATATATATATATATATATATATATATATATATATATATATATATATCACACACACACACACACACACACACACACCTGTACACTAGAATGAATGAGCATTAGTCTCTTACTAATTCATTCTGCCTCCTTTTTTGCTGCCTCTCATTTTCTCGTCCTTCTCTGTCTGCTTTCAAGCAACTGTAGATGTGGTTCACCTGAGGGAGAAAAGACTTTGATTTAATAACTAAATTTAATCATTTCAAATGACAGGTGTTGCTTTTCAGGCTTTTATATTTATTTTTAAAGTCAATTTGTTGCCCGGTATTCATCCGTGAAATAAAATAATAAAATGAATAAATGAAACGTCCGCTCAATGACAGATGTTGCCTTTCAGAAACATCAATTCATAGCTCAATGTTGGTTTAAGTACCATATCTCTTCCTCAGCACTAAGATGAAAGGGCAAAAGAGAAGTGAAACACTCTCACACAAGCATTTAGTTGCTTCTTTTCACTTTTCTTGAATCTAATACATCCCTTGTTCTACCCTTAAGCATTCTTGTCTCTTTTTTTTCCCCACAGGCCAGAGCAAATGACCAGAGAGGTGTGGGACTTTATCTTCTTTAAGACGTCTCCTTTCCCGAAGACAAACATCCCTAAAGAGCATCTACAGAGGCTGAGGAGGGAGTTTGAATACTGGTACCCTGTGGACGTCCGTGTGTCTGGCAAAGACCTGGTGCCTAACCACCTGTCTTACTACCTGTACAACCATGTGGCTATGTGGCCTAAGGACAGGTGAGTTTGACCACTTGATTGACCAATGCAGGGAGTAGGAGATTGTGATTTTATTTATATGCTTATTTATTTATTTTTTTTTAAAGAAGGGGTCCACTTTGCTTGTGTTTCCTACAAGGTTGATGGACTAATCTTAAATCTTACAAGCCACACGCTTTCATTTTGGGGCAATTACACTTCGTCTCCAGAGAATGTGAACCAGGATTATCCTTGGAGATGTGCTGGCTCAGTGCTTAACACAGCTTTCTATAATATGCATAACTTTGTATTCATTAGTGTATAATCACCTGAATATAAGAATTGTTATGTTTTCATTACCTTTTAAATGAGCCGTTTAGTTTTTTGCGCGTCTGCAGCCCCTGTAGTTTATCCCTAATGATTAGAAGTGGAGGGTGAAACGAGGGACTTGCAATCTGCAAGGATAACATTAAAGAGAACATTCTCTCTCGTCCACAGTGGGAAGTGGCCACAAGCAGTGCGAGCCAACGGACATCTGCTCCTCAACTCTGAAAAGGTGTGTCAAATAATACCAATAATGGAGGGAAATTGCACTACCCCTCAAAAGTTTGAGGTCACCAGCCACAAAAGCCTGATTCAGTACAGTCAGATGGCTTTTTCTGAATTGTCTTTCATGCTTTTAGGTTGCAGAAAGTCCTCTATACAAATAGATGTTATTTTGTGGAAAGGGTTTAAAAAATATATTTTGTACATGGAGAACAAAATGCTGTACAATGGTTCAACCAGACTCACAACTGAAAGGGCAGAAAGAAACAAAGATCCCTCTGAGGAACAGGTAAATAAGAACATAAGATGTCACCAGTCATTGGTCTTGTTGCAGTGTGAAGTGCATAATAATGCCTATAACAAGGTAGAATTAACTTCAAAATAGAATGTTGGTCTAAGGTTAGCACTGTTGAATATCAGCTGAACATTATTATTATTATTATTATTATGACAAATCACAGTTTAAACCTGTTCAGTCTAACCACTGAGTAGACTGCAGAGGACCAGAGGGAAAAAAAGGTTCCCAAAAAATGTAAACCCAAGTTGCAAGCACTGTTGTGGTTCAGTAATGTTTTAGAGTCACTTGTGCTTTTTCTGGGCTGGAAAATAAATTCAAAATTGATGGGTATTTGAGGGATTCTCCCTTGTCATGCAGCACTGTGGGGACATTCACTATAGAAGAATATAAGTTTTAATAATTTCATTACTTATCATTTATTTATTCTTCTACATTGGGGTCAAAATTATTTCAAATGTAAATAATACATCTGGTGTCTGAGTTCTACTGTTTCTCAGGAGAAATGGTCTGGTCCCATCTAATGTGGTCTTTTGTCTGGGTTGTTGGACAGAATTGAAACATTATATAACAATATCAAGATTGTTATATTTTACAGCACATTAACTACTCTTCTTATGCCAGTAATTAACTTGTGTTTGATGCTGTTACGAATTTAAATTACTGTGTGTGTGCTGTTGATTTACACTGCAAACACAGACAGTCTGTGACTCACTGGTTTTATTCTACTATTCTTTTTAAGGAACTTGTGTGTGGGTGGGCGTACTTGAAAGATTCTGCCTAACATCTGTTTTTCTATTCACCAGATGTCCAAATCAACTGGAAACTTCCTCACTCTCACCCAAGCCATTGACAAGTTCTCAGCAGACGGTACACTTAGTTTCTTCTTGATTTATCACCCTCCTGTGTTCTGCTTCTTTTCTTTTACTCTTCTCCTTTCTTGTGGCTCTCTTTCAATATCTCATTGAAACATTGCAGAAAAACACATCAGCTGTACATCTAGAACAGATTACAACGTATTCTCACAGTGCACGGGCCATTACACTTTACGATATATACCATAAGCATCTTTTATCCTGTGGTGAAGATAATGAGAAAACACCCCATCTTCATAAGATAACTGAGGAGTTGATATTGGTTGCTATGAGCTATTCTATGTGTATCAGAGCCCTTATACTGCACTGTAAGTAATAACCTTCTGTGTAATAATTTATAATGTATGCTTTGTGTTCAGAATGTTCCAATCAATCATCAATTATCATGTATTCGCCTGCTCATCATTCCAGGCACAGAAAAAGAAGATGCAGTGGGAAGAAGAAAGTATAGTCTCTAAAATCAAATATTTATCGGAACATGAGAGGAAGACAAGATTTTCACTGTTGTGAGACCAAGAATGAGACTTCTGCACAGAGGAGAGAATTTCTTTCTGAGGATTACATTTGAATCAAAAGCCTTGTGTTTGTGGGGGTCCTTTTTGGCATAATTGATAAGGATGATCTTATGTTGTTTATTTTTACATGTTTATTTGGATCTTTGCCTGTTTTCTATGGTTCTATCTGATCTTGTTCATATATACCTGGTAGAGACATAGATTAGTAACCTACCAGGTATAGATGACCCTGGAATCCCTCCTGCACTCAGTATACCCTAGTTGATCTGTTTTTTATTATTTTTTATTTTTTTATTACTACCAAGTGTTTTTATGTTCTGAACGAGCTGAATAATAGATAGATGTGTCTGTTGTGTCTCTGGAAGCTGTCTTGCCGTGGAAGTAAAGAACTCCATGGTCTGACAGCAGATAGACGTATCAAGTTGACTTCCTGTCTCAGAATTTGAGAGTGATGTCTTCTGGGTATTTGAAGTTTTTTCGCAGACTGTGGAATTTTCCACAAAGCCTCTGAACATATCCTGGTTGTCGAGAAGAATTTTGCAAAAGAAAATAGAAGTGTTATGTTTAGTGTTTGCCCCAATATGATTAAGGGTACTCAAGGTTGGATATCTGATTCAAGCAAATGACAAAGGCTGTGGTGAGAATGGAGGCGTTAACCATGCAAGGTTTTTGCTCTAGAAAGAAACTACAAATCAACTTCAGACATGTTAATGTTGTACTTCCTGCTGTTTTTAACACGCCTCTCCCATTTCCTCTATCAGGTATGCGTCTTGCTCTCGCCGACGCCGGGGACACGGTGGAGGACGCCAACTTTGTAGAGACCATGGCTGATGCTGGCATCCTGCGCCTCTACACCTGGGTGGAGTGGGTGAAGGAGATGATTGCCAACCAGAACAACCTGAGGACAGGACCTGCTGACACTTTCAACGATCGGGTCTTTGCCAGGTAGATGCAGGAGTTCATTTAGATGTGGTGGTATGGGTTGACAGGAGGATTTAGCGCATACATTGGTTTTTTTTTAGGGAAAAATATCAAATGGCCATATGCATGACACGACTGAGTTTCAATTTGCAACTACACTGCTTGATGCCACTAAATCATACACACTGATCCTTTTTTAAAGTGCAGCGTAATGCTGTGAGCTTTGGTGAATTGATTTTTATATTGAAAGGTAAAAATAAGATGTACTGTTGCCAGTTAGCACTCAAAGGCAAAAAATGAAACTGGACAGCTAGAAGAAAGCCAGTCCTTCAGAACTTGGAAGGTTCCTGTTGAGAATCCTGACCTTTTCGCCTCTGTAGTTTCCAGTGCTGAAAAGTGATTGGTAAACTGACTTTGCAGACTGACTTAAAGGATTTTGTGTCCTGTCTAGTGAGATGAATGCAGGGATCTTGAAGACAGAGCAACACTATGACAGGATGATGTACAAGGAGGCTCTGAAGAGTGGCTTCTTTGAGTTCCAGGTAAATATATTTCCTTTTATAAAAACTGCTTTCTAAAACTCTCTTAATCCTCTTCATAGCTTTAAAAATGAGCATGCTTTTCTATCCTTCCTAAGCATTTAAGGATGATATAATGGATACTTCAGCGACAGATTAAAAAGTAGATGGAGCATAGTATCACTAAGGATTCAAATATTATCCTAAGCATGCAACGAATTTACAGAATTGAAAAAGATACTATCTGGTATAGTTTAGGAATTACATAACAACCAGTGATGATGATAATGACCTTTTAAACTGTTTTATGTATGTATGCAGGCAGCCAAAGATAAATATCGCGAGCTGGCTATCGAGGGCATGCACAGAGACCTGGTCTTCCAGTTCATAGAGAGACAAACTCTGCTGCTGGCCCCCATCTGCCCACACCTTTGTGAATACACCTGGGGTCTGCTGGGCAAGGTAAGAGAGGGTTTCATGTTCTGTGTTGCCTGCGTGCTCTGACTGTAGGTTCAGATGTGACTTTCATCCTCTCATCTCTTCTGTCTTTCATGTTTCCCCCCCAAAACAGAAAGTATAAAATAAATATTTAAACTTCTTGTGTTATTTCCATTCATGAATGCACCTGGGAGCAACAAGCTAAGAAACCTACTTCACATATGGAGTACTGCTGGTCCCACTGCTCATTTACTTGTGTGAAATGGCTACTAACACACTATTTCACACACACACACACACACACACACACACACACACACACACACACACACACGTTCTCTGTGTTGTATGTCCACCAGGAGTCTTCACACTACGGGCTTCTTCTCTCCCCCCCCCCATCGGTATGAAAGGAACTCACACACTGTTGCACGCTCCCAACAACACAGAGACGAGAACATTTTTAACACTCAAATTTATGAATATGAAAAAGTGCTGCTGCCCTGGAGATTGTTTTTTTTCGGTTGTCGCTTAGCAACAACAAAAGCCCCACAACTCCAATCATGTGTTCAGCGCCGCCAGCTAAACAGCTAAGAGGCACTATGTGGACACAGAGGTACACACATCAATCTAGGATTCTTACACATACCCAGTTAATAGGGTGTGTGCATAGTTTTGTTTGCGAAGGTGGTGTGACCTCTGGCTGTGTAGTTAATAGGATTCTAAGCCTCTGGTGGACCCTCAAACATTTGTTTTTTTTCATTCTCCACACAATACACTTCTTGATACCAAAACAAGAATCGTCCCCCTTGACTCATCCACTGTGCCTTCTTTCCTCTCTCTCTCTCTCTCTCTCTCTCTCTCTTTTCCCCCCTCATTAGACCAGTTCTCTGAGGAAGGCATCGTGGCCTGTGGCGGGTCCAGTTGATGAGATTCTGATGCGTTCCTCTCAGTACCTGATGGAGACCGCACACGACCTTCGACTGAGACTCAAAGCATACATGCAGCCCCCCAAAAGCAAAGTAAGAAGTGTGTCTGTGTCGTTTCTCATGCTTCACTGCTGTAATGGCTTTTTTAAAATAATTGTGAAAATGAATATTGATTTCAGAATTGATTGCTTTCTTTTTAATAATCTTTTTTTTTTTTTAAATCTAGCTTTGTCTCGGAGTGCATTAAGTGTGGTAATTAAATCAGAGGCAGCATTGTGTCTTTACTCTTATTCTCCCTCGGGTGTTGTTTAACAGTTTTGTGATTGTTTGATGGGAAGCACAATGAGGCAGAAAATAATAAAAACTGCACGGTAAGTTTGAAAGTAGAGTTGTGGTTCAATCTAATTTTTATCATATGTGGTTCCAGTATACAATCAGCTTATCAAATCTGAAAGTCAAATTGCGTATTGAATCTATTTAGGTTTATAAATAACTAGACTAATAAACCCAAGGACTTATAGTCAAGCTTTGTTAAATAACATCTTTGCTGGTAAGATAAACAATTGTACTTCGCTCTTTGCTAATTAAAAAGAGAGGAGCTATTTGTTTGACTCTGACCTTAACAAATCTATATATTTTACCTGCTTGGAGCTGGATAAAAAAAACCTAATTTATTTCAAGACAGAGTTACCTTCAGTGTATTTAATCTGTTTTTCCATTCCCAAGCTAGACACTGTGTTATAAAAGTAAAATACTGAATGTAGGAATCACCTTCTTAATGTTACTCACCCCAAAGTTATAGGATTTGTAGATTTTTGATGTTGTCTCCCCTTTTCTTTGCCATGGCATCCTCTATACTGAGGGTCTAAGGATAGAGGGCCGTCATATGCTGTGTAGAAGCCCCTTGAGGCAAATTTGTTATGTCATTTTGAGCTATATGGATAAAATTTACTTTACTATCCCTTTGGATACACTTGAAGATTTAAGCCTGCGTTGTGTTCACGGTACGAAAGTTAACCTATTGTTTGTTAACAGTTTGGCACTTCAATAAGTGGCTGTAGGCAGGTGGGAGAAAAGCTAAACAAGTATTGACAAGATTTGAGACAGCCGATATCTCAGGCCTCCAGACTGCCGTCATTGATTTGCTGCAAATGTTTTGTTGCTATGGAGGCAAGATGGAGGGACGATCGGGACAGTAAAATAATCATCTTTTCATGTCAAGGATTTTGTGATTATTTTGTGAATGTGCAAAAAGTCTATATTTAAAAAGTAATTGAGAAAGAAGTAAAAGTCAGAGTGATTGATTTTTTAATTTTTAATTTTTTTTTAGAAATGGCATTTTTTATATGACCTGTGGACATAAAACATCCTTCACCAACATGTTACTTGAACACAACACACAAAGGTTTTTTTTCCCCCTTTTGAATAATATGTCTATTAGGCTGTTTTATCTAATTTTCATGTTTAATTTATAGTGGTAATATGCTGTCACATCAAGACTCATTTATGGAAACACATACAGGCACACATACAGTACAGGACAAGAGTAGACTTGACAGCTGTCACATAAAATAAGTTCACAAATCCCCATCTTCATTTTATAAGATCACACACACACACACACACACACACAAAAAAAAACAGTTTGCTTCTTGAATAATCCAATACACTGCTTCCCATTGAGACTACCTGCCTTCAAAATATGCTGTCACTGTACTGAATAAAAGCCAAACCATCAAAGTCCTATGTACCTGACTGTATGGATGAATGTGGTGAATCTGAAATGCTCCTTTTCTATGCTATTTTCCTCCAACAGAAAGGTGACTCAAAACCCCCAGCCAAGCCCTCCCACTGCAACATCTACGTTGCCAAGAGCTACCCTCCATGGCAGCACAGTGCCTTATCCCTGCTCGGCAAGCACTACAAGGTGAGAAACAAACACACAGCATAACATTAATACACAGAAGTAATCTTTTTGTATTAACACTTACTTCTGTGTCTCAAATCATCTCATACCATGGTCTGGGTGGATACGCCATTCTGATTGGCTGATAATGGACACCTTGTCGGACATTATCCCTTTACATGTAACCTACACTGTGTTTTCCATCAGCTACACAGTACATCTATCTCTCTCTGTTCCTGTTTGTCTGTGTCTCTAAGCTGTCTTTTGTTTTTTTGTGTCTCTGTGTCTGTCCAGAGCAACAATGGGGCTCTTCCAGACAACAAAGTGATAGCAAGCGAGTTGGGAGCCCTGCCTGAACTGAAGAAATACATGAAGAGAGTCATGCCGTTTGTAGCCATGATCAAGGTAAATCTGGAGGAAGTAGGGGTGTCAATGTGTCTGTGTATAGGCACATCCTGTCCCCTCTTCTCCCTTCTATACATCTAACGTATACATATTTACCCTCATAGTTCTATTTTGTGTTTTCTTTTCTCTGCATTGTTCGGGTTGAGTTTGTTTACCGCGTAAGAAGCTTTTTTTTATTCAACTTGTCTGTAAGGTGGCTTATCTTTTTGTTTCTGCGCGCAGCTCTGCCTCTGATTGGCCTAACGTCTGCCCTGGTAATTCTATTGAAAGATTGGAGTCTGCATCTTCAAAAGCTGTTATTTTTTTTTCACTCCTCTTTGTGTTGAACAATAGCAAAACTGTAGCCAATACGATAAAACAATTTGAACAATAGTGTTGCTTTTGAAATTTCAGGAATACTTTGTGTGCAGAGTTTAATGTGTTTTATTGATCGAAAAAGTACATAACACACTTTTGACGGACTGTCTCAACTTGTTCCTATGTTTGTTTGCTACATTCATTATTTTTTACTTTTTAAAAAAAATCTTGTTTTGGCTTATATTAAATTGCTATTTTATTCTCCTAGTTACAGTGTTCTTTTCATCTAATTGGTAAATACTTCTGGGAATGACACGTTGGTAAAAATGACAACAAAAAAAAACATTTCAGTGTCGCTGCAGTTATTGTTTCTGTTATATCGAGCTATACACTTAAGGTCAAGTTGCTAATAAATGATCAGCACAATGCTTATTAACGTCTAAGTTGTCATATCTCCCAGGTGCTCAGGGCTTTGTTCAGGTGTTGCCATTTCACTGCTGGGATCAAACAGAATCAAACTAATAAATAGTCATGATAAGCTCTGTATTCATCCATGGGTTGTCTCTCAAGCTGGTCCTTTAGCTTTCAAGTTGTTTTCTCTCCCAACTCTCCTTGTTTGATGATTTGTTTTGGCATCTATTGTTCACAAAGCTTTTTTCTCTTCGTAATAATCTCATGGTGGCAGCATCAGCATAACAATGAACTCTCTGCGTAATACCAAATTATAAGATAAAACCTGATTTCTTCAGTAGGTGGATGAAATGATGCATTTACTCCTATTCTTCTAACTGCTGGCTTGTCAGAAAATGTAGCTAATTAAAATGGAATATGTTAACTTCCTGTTCATTCCTCAGGAGAGTTCAGATTACTTACTCATTCATGTCAATCATTCATGCTTGTGTTGTATGCTTGTTTCTGATTATTTCTGTTCTGCTTTGTGTTTCTGTAGGAGAACCTGGAGAAGAATGGGCCCAGGGTCTTGGATCTGGAGCTGGAATTTGATGAGCGGGCAGTTCTGATGGAGAACCTGGTCTACCTAACCAACTCTCTAGAGGTATGTTTTGTGATCCAACATTCCTAAAATCACACATTTAAGGCTGACCCCACTCAAAAAGTGTCTGTCCCAGCTATCAGCTAGCAACATGAGGAAAACTATTCATAAAGTCAGTCTAACGTCTGATCGTGTGGTCAATATATAGTCGACTAAAGTATGTAAACCTGTAACCGTAGGAACAGCGGTTGAATAACCTTCCTAACTACTCACAATTTAACTGTGTTTTCATCATAGATATGCTCTGGCACAAACAACACCTCTAGTCCCAGTTAAAAACACACTCCCACACATCCCAGGAGCCTCTCAAATTTGAGCAATAAACTGAACAGGTTCACTTGATTAGGTTCTGTCTGTCTTTACATAAATGTCCATCTGTGAAATGCAGTAGTTTCCTCAAAAATAATTCTGCCTTATAGCTGACTTTCACTACATCTGCAAAAGTCAGCTGAGACAATCCTGAGCTCAGCTGTCAGTCAGACAAGCCCTTAATACTTTTGTCTGCACAGGAGTTTAGCCTAGTCAAACCCAAGCCCCCTACAATACTTTTGTGAAACCAGCACAGAAAGTTTTTTTTTTTTTTTTTTTTTTTTTTTTATACATAATCTACGTCAAACAACCACTCTGAATCCAATTCCCATGTTACTGATTGATCATAGCGAAAGATAAGCTGCTACGGACTTGAAAGGGATACTTCACCTTAAATCTCTCTTGAAAGGTGGCTGTTTTTATAAGGATGGTCAACAGAGAAGTGCTTTATGCTACAGATGTAGTTTGAGAAGTTTACAGAACTAGTTCACAATCTTGAAACTGAAAAAAAAAAAAACGAAATACCATCCCTGATTGGGAATATGTGACAGATTAGAGTACAGCAAGATGTTAGGTCTCTGATCATCGCAGGAGCCTGGTTTAACACCACAAGTGCTTGCCAGTGTGCATACCGAACACACCTGTGTACACACTATCTGGTGGTGGACCGATGTGGACTGACAGCTGATTATTGCTCTTTTTCAAATCCTTCCTCCTCTACAGTTGGAACAGATAGACGTCTTGTTTGCATCCGAGGCTGATGACAAAGTGAAGGAGGACTGTTGCCCAGGGAAACCGTTCAGTGTTTTCAGATCAGAGGTAAATCCTTTCGGCTGTGTGTTGTCTGCTTTCATGCAAGCTGTGTGTGTGTCTGTGTGTGTGTGTGCGTCTGTGTGTCTGTGTGTTAGAGAACAGATGTAGGCTTCTTTTTCAGTCACCTATTCATCAGCTTTTGTTTGGATATTCGCAGTATGTTCGTGTTTGTGTATCCCTGATGAACAAAGTGTTTGTTGTCTTCTCAAATCAACAATTTAATTGTGTTTGTGCATATGTGTTGTGCCTCTGTCTCCCCAGCCTGGCGTGTGCGTGTCCCTGATCAACCCTCAGCCGGCCAACGGCCTGTTTTCTGCAAAGGTTGACATCAGACATGGGGACAGCAGAGACAGCGTCATCCGTAGGCTAGCCAAGGTCAACAGACTCATCAAAGGTTAGTAAGATAAATGGGTACACAGCAGGAATTCATACACCATGGTTACGAGCCCAAAATGGGTCTGTTAATATACAGAAATGAATGTTACAATCTAAAGAGGATGAACGTTTGTATTTTTAACTTTTGGGACAAAGTTTAAAAGGGTGTGTGCATCAGCTGTGCTTTTCTTTGCCTATTGCAGTAAGAGGCTGGGCGACATGTCCTGAAAGTTAGCTCAGTATGGTAAAGGATGTAACTCTGTATTATGCTATATACCGTAGTTTTTCATTTTTATTGTAACAGCGTGTGGTTTAAATGCAAGATGAATGAGGGTTAGAGCTTTAGTTAGCAGATTTGCTCTGTAGCCTTTTCTCCTTTACACTCTTAGTTCTGCCTATAGCATCTTACTGTTTCCCCCCACGCTTCTATTCCTCATCTTCTTGCTTACCTTTATCCTTCTCTACACTCACTCCCTTGCCATTATTTCATCCCCTCTGTTTCAACTCCACCATTTTCCCGACTTATTCTGCATTTCTTTCATCCCTTTCTCTCTTCCTCCCTTTTTTTGTTTCTGTCTCTCATCTCACCTCTGACTTGTCTGACTCCCCTCCAACAGATCTGTCCAGAGTGAAGTTGATGAGGTACGAGGACCCCATACTGGGGCCTCGCCGGGTGCCCGTCCTGGGACAAGAGGAACAGGGCAAGCTGCCCATCTCCAACAAATCTGTGTTCAACATCAATCTGGAGGAGAAGAGGGTCACTCTGGCCGACAATGGTCTCACTGTTGACATCGGGGACACTTTGGTTTATCTGGTTCAATAGAGTAACATTCACTCTCTTACACACGCAGGCACATCGGGGCACATTCAACAGTGAATCATTTGTGAGAGGTTCAAATGCATCATGAATTGTTACAATAAAATGGGTCACTTTGACTCAAAGCCACAGAACACAGACTCAAAAGTATATGTATGTTTTATAATTTCTCTTTCTGTACTGCACCGTTGGCTACTGCACACGGTGTTAGACTCATTGTTTTTCACCCTTTCACTGCTGAATGTGACCTAAGGGAATATCTGAAACTAATGAGACCTGAAGAGTTTGATTCTCTCTTCATTTTTAAAATACACATGCAGACTATTAGGTATTTAGTACTTAAATCAGGTTATTTAATGGTGTAACAAAAAAAAGACTACAATTTTGAAAATATCCCAAACCTTCTCTTAAGGATTTGGTATGAGAGGATAACGCCAGAATTTGTATTCCGTCTTTTCATTGTCTGTAAGATTAAATTACATTTTTCTCCATGGGCCACTCTTTCCTATCTGATATGATGCACATTAAATAAGCAACTATCTCTATAATGAAGCTTTTAAATAAAGTTTCTTCCTGAGAGCAACAAAACATCTACCACCATGTCCTATTTTGTTGCTGGCCGACCACTTATTTTATGTTATTGCATTGTGAGACTGCTCCTGCATCCTCCTGTTGTTCTCATATAGATGGTAATGTGTCTGCTTTGTCGTTTTATACATTGAGGTGAGGCATATAGTTCCCTCATGTTTTGTCAGCCTGTCAGACAGCTTCCCCTATTTTCTAGCCGTCGATGGTGCTTGTCTGACTTGTGCTTTTCCAGATAAATAATAAAATCTATGAAATATTCAGCCTCCTTGTTTATTGTTTTCTCTCTCTCTCTCTCTCCTCTGTGCTGTTTTATTTCCTCTGAGGACATAAATAAGACGCCTGCTCCCCGCAAGTATAAGATCTCGAGTGTGTCATGGTTTTGGCGAAAGTCATTGGATCTTTGCCCCTTCAGTGCAGATAGTGATGATAATCCTGCAGTGTGAGCAGTCTTCTGGTGAGGATGATGTGCACAATGCTGTCAATGGCACAAAGTGTAGCTGTGAGGGGGTAGAGGATGAAGTCTGCATCCTCTACCTGTATACAGAACTCCTACTGTATACAGAACTACGTCATGCAGGAGTTCTGCATACAGGCACCTGTATGTATTTGGGACTTGCAGTGGATATGCAAAGGAGATGGCCAATGAACTCCTTCCGATTATGATTTGGGTCGAGATTCTCCATAAGGGAAAAATGAGAAGACAAAACACTCATGCAAAGTCATTACTGGTAGACGGCCTGATTCTGTACAAAGGTAACCAAATCTGTCAGCCAGCAAACCCCGAAGCTCACTAATTAATACGTTATTTCTCAGTTGTTTAACCAGTGGAAAAACCGAAGCGTTAATACGAAAAAACGCCGTTTTCGCGCGGTCGGTCTCGGTGGCTAGTAATTTACTTCCTGGATTCTCCGCTGGTTGCCTAGCAACTGCTCATGGTAAATAATCTAGTAATTGACGACAGGAGAGCAAAGCGTTTCCCAAACTGTTTCCCAAAGGCGTTTTTCCTTTAACCACAAGGTAATATACCTAAGAGCTGGAACTATATTGTAAACTGACGTCTTACATGAAAGATGAAGCTTGCTGGAGCTCATCTTGCAATTAGTAAAGGTGAATCCATGAGGCCTGCTCCTGTCTCAGACACAGGTAGGACACCACCTGTGTGTTTAAAGGTGATGCTTAACGTTAGTGTCTAAATTTTAAGTTTCAAATGTGTTTTTTTTTATTATAGCACAAAATGGACTTTGCAATCAAGTCTCTCAGTTTCAGTACTGTTGCAGGGATCTGGCTGTGCTTGGTCTCTGTGGTTCCCTACTTCAAAGACTTTTGGGAGAATTACAATAGTGGCATCTCTGTTAGTCAATTAATTAAATGTAAATCAGCTACATTTTCAGAAAAGCACTGCATTGTATATTAAAGACCATGCAACAATCTTTTTTGATGCTATTTTCTGTGATGCATATGACGAATTAATGCCACTATACATTTTTATCATCCTGAAAAGGAGCTAAACTGAGTGAAAAAGCATAGACTTTTCAGGTACTGTACATGTTTCTCCCAATTTTGGGTTAAGACCTATGTGTGTGAACTATCTGAGCTTCCAAACCCATGATAGTTTCACTACGTGTCCTTCCACCACGTAAACCTGCGCTCACTTCTCTTTCTGTCACCCATTCTCTCACACTATGTAGATGTATAAATATATATATGACTAAATTTAAAGGTCAATGTCAGCGCACAGGAAATGCACGAATGCAGACAGTCCCCTCTAAAGATGAACCACAGGTGTTTCTTTGGTTCTAAAATGCATCTTTCACTTCCCAGCTCTTCACTTTATGAGTCTGAGCTTCTGCATCAAGGGTAAGTGCAACTGTTCGTCAATACATCAGTTTAACAGATACGATGAATGTCTTTGAATGTCAAACAAACTGGTAGAACTGATTTCTTGTATTCGTGCTTAACATCTATAATTTTGCAAATGTCTTAATTTCCCATATTTGTGCACATGGTTTAGATATAAAGTGTCTGTCACCTGTAATCATGTAAATAAATACTAAGATTCATTTCAACCTTTTCTGACCTGCTGGTGTGTTAGTGTTAAGTATATTAATGCATTCACATCTGATTACTTTATGCCAGACATTCATGTTCTGGCACCCTGATGTGTATCTGCCCTCTCCGCATTTGCTGTATTAGCGCGAGGGGGGGGGGGGCACAGTTAAGTCTCAGACAGAAGACAACTACAAGACTTATCTCTGTCACACAGCTTCTGGCCGAGCCATCTGACTGCTGGTTTATCTGCACTGGCACACACCCTCTCACTGGGGAAGTGTGACTCCACCGCCCCCCTCCCAACTCCTCATTCCTGCTGACTCCCTGCTTACCCTCTAGTCTTTCGCCTCCTCGCCTCAACCCTTTCTGGATGCCAGTAGCTTCTAGTCATGGAGCAGACGACAGTCACACACCAGTAAGTTTTTTTTTTTTTTTTTTTTTTTTCTCCCTACCACCACTGAACACGATGGAATTGCAGCAAACAGCTCACTTATTGTATTCTGCTTTTTTTATGGTGCTGCGTCTCCTCTGAATCTTTTTCTTCTTTTATGTCTCTATTATCATAAATGATAATAACAGGAACATTTCTTTCATCTGTTGTTGCTGCAGCTCTTGCTTTTGCGCTCCTTTCTGCTAAATTTTAAACTTATTTTGCCGTCACTGCAATTTGCTGTTGTTAAAGTGTTGCTGAGGGCCTAAAACAGTCAAGTGAAGGAATAAATGCTATATTGCATACAGTGCTAGGATAATATTAGTAGCATACTGGTGTAATTGTGGTGGCATGCTGCTAATATTTCATAGAGGCCAGCCGAGTACAAAACATGCCGCTCTGGGAAAATTAGCTGAATGAATAAAATTAATTAAATTCCTGTTTACAGGAGAACAAAACAAGACTCATTCGCTAATTTGAGACTATTTCTTTACCATTGAGCCTGCAGTTGAGTGTCAGTTGCACGTTAGAGGCTTGACAAGCCGTAGTGAATTTATCAACCATCTATATAAAGACCGATTCATTAAAAATCTAATTTCAGACCAGAACTGTCCATCACCAATCCCTCACCATCAGCGTTTGAAGAGGAGGAAGTGGGGGGCTTCACCGCAGGAAGTGAAGATAACTGCAGGTCATGCAATGTCCTTGCAGTGACAGACCCAGTACTCACGCAACCCGGCCTCGGCGTCACCACGACAACCGTCACCACCATCACGCAGACGGGAGGAGACTGGAGCACTGGCCTGTTTAACGTCTGTGGAGACAAGACTACATGTATGAAAACATAGCCAGATTCTTTGTCCTCATAAGCACAGTGCTCTCACACACCAATCAGAACTTGATGCCTCCCTTATTCTTTGTATCATGTTTTTAATTGGATGTTTCTACAAAATTAATTTTATGTAAGAACCCATAAATCATCATTCATTCATTCTTAGTCTTGCATCTGAGAGATAAATAGAATTTGGGATATTTGTCTGTTACATGCAAACACACACACACACACACACGCACACACACACACACATTGTGCTAACTTGTGATGTGTTTGCAGGTATTCTCGGAGCTCTGGTGCCGTGCTGTTTGGACCTGAGCTTAGCTCACCAGTATGGTGAGTGTCTGTGCATGCCTCTGCTACCAGGATCCACTTTTGCCATGCGAGTTGGGATCAGGGAGCGGTACAAGATACGGGTGAGTGTGTGTATTCACGTGCATATTCACATATTTGTCAACAGGAAGTGAAGATTTGTGCTGCTTGTTAGTGCGTCCTTGAACACACCAGCAGGTAGACTTTACAAAATAAAAGCATTACCACATATTGATAATATACCTTCAAAAATAGAAAATGAAGGTTACAAAATGTTCAGAGTTGTGATATCTCAAGCAAGTTTTAAGACTGGCCAGGAAACATTGTCTGATTTGTTACTAAATGCACTCATAGTTTCACTTTAAGTTGTGTGAGTGAATTTTTGTGTTTATGTTTTTATGTCTTTTTAATGGACACGTACCTCATAGTTCTGGATGTTGCATTGCTGTGTCTGCCTGTGTGCTTCTTCTATATGTGTTTGCATGTATGTGTGTACCTGCCTGCATGTTTATCCACAGGGCAGTGTATGTGAGGACTGGACCACAGTGTACTGCTGTTACCCTCTGGCTGTATGCCAGATGATAAGAGAGATGAAGCGGAGGATGAAGACACAGACGTATCATGTGTCCACTGCCCTCGAAAGCTCCTGAAGAAACTCTAGATAGTAAATGAGGCCTGTACTTTTACAATGCAACAGAGGCTGGTGAGGGCCAGCTGAGATTTCTGGTACGAACAGCACAAAGAATCAATACTATAAGGTTTGAACTTACTTTTAAATGCCACTGAGGACGCCTTGGCCAATAAATCAAGCCTATCCTACAACATTCAAAGAAGACTGGAAAGGACGAACTTTGATTAATAGCATAAACAGCAAAATGAATCAGAGCTTTAAGGTCTAAACTGCCTTGGAGGTTGTTAGATTCTAACTGAAACATACTTTTAAACTGCTGTTGGACCTCTGTTTAGAGAGGATATAATGAATAAACTTGAAAACAATTTCCTGCTTCTCTTGTAAAGGCAAGAACACATCAGGTAGATTTTGAGTTGGGTGACAAGCAGGTGGCAAGACACATGCTGATTTGGTTTCAGTAGCTGTCACTGTCAGCAAACATCTGGTACAACAAAACAGCCTAGTCACCACTAATTGTATCTAGGACTGCACTTTAGTGTTTTTCAGTTTTATTTGAAATATCAGTACTGGAAATTTCTGCGGCCTACCCAATATAATTAAGATAAATGGGACATTGTTTGTGCTGCTCACAACAATGAAAATGTAATTTGAAAAAGATGTCTTTCCAAAAACAATGTCCCTTGTGCTCTGGATAGTCAATTGAGCAGGCTAATAATGGTTCATAGGTACAATTTCTTCAAAATATACGAACAAAGTTAGAAAGGTGACTTGGGTGAACAGTCCCTTTAATTTTGTCTCGTATGCCAAAGGTCACCAGACACATTATCGTCTTCATTCCTCTCAGACGTCCAGGGAAGATGAAGTGAGGAAACATAAAGCTTTCTAGACCTTGAGGCACAAATTGTGAAATGGGGACATAACTCAACAATATCTACAAATCCATGTAAAGCCAGAGAGATGAAGAAAAGCTTAGTCAGTTCAGTTTGATATGAGCAGTCATTTAGTGCTTTAATTAAGAATACATGCTTATGAGATTTGTTTCATCCCACAGTCTGGAATAAATAAAACAAGAGTGCAAGTCAATTTAGTATGCAGAACCACTTGTCTGATTACCCGGAAAACCGTCCACAGTGTAGCGCCGATCACAGTCTACAGTCTGACGATAATAAAGCCTATTTCCATGTTTCTGATATTCTTTTATCCTTCTGTTCCTTGATTCACCTCAGGCATTCAATCATATTATTAAACCAGTCCTGATTGCTGTGGTTCCCTGAACCCGAAATGCCAACCAGCAAGAACGGATATGGAAGATGTTATTCATACACAAAGCAGATGGGTCCTCAAAGGGCAAATATGTAATTTGTTAACTCTTACGGATGTGGTCCCCCACCTGGCAGCTGCCTCAAATGAAATGGGGGGAAAAGGGAGAAAATGGGTTTGGTGTCAAGGAAAGAGAGATATGTGAATAATACAATCTAATCATATTTTACATACAGTACACTGCACATTTAAAGGAGTTAATCTACTGAATGAAAATACATATTTTTAAATCACTGCAATCCTTCATTTGTGTATATTTCTCTCTTATGTGATTATGTTTGTTGTTGGTTTTGAGTATATCGGTATAAGTTTTCATCCTTAACCAACAGTGTTCCTCAGTTAAAGAATGATGAAGTATCAGAACGAATAAGGCCTCTTGTGCAAAAGTGATCCACATGTGTCAGTGAGGAGAAATTTCCAGATTATAGTCCTTGCACCATGCAATGCCTATGAATGCTGCTTTAGCTTTAGACAGAAAATACCCATAACCGATTTTCAGTATGGGCGATTTCACCTGTCGGTTTTATATTCCACTGTGAGCACTGTGAATTCACGCTCTACACAAAAGACCAAGAACAGTCCATTGCTTGCTGCTGTGTACCATTTCACATCAACAAATCATCAGCGAAGAGACAAATGTGTTGCAATTCACTCATTCTTATCTGAAAAACATTTTTAAAATAATATGTTCACATTTTTGTGGACTAAAATATAGCATACTGGCATAGAATCTATCCATGTTCAGTAGAACTACTCCAATTGCTACTATCCCTGCGATTAAAACAGGAGTTGTTGTGTACAAGATTGTGACAGCTGTAACATAACTTGCAGATGGCCACGGTGTTAATAAGCTGTAATGTTATGAATTAAACCACCCAACAGTACAGCTTAAAGCTAATAGTTGATTCATCAGTCAGTCAACTGACAGAACATTAATTCAACATTTAATTATTCAACATTTAATTATTAAACATTTTTCTTGCAAAAACATCACATGGTTCATGCTTCTCAAATGCGAGGATTTGCTGCTTTTGTTTTTAATTATTTTAATGATGATAATATTGAAACCAGAACATAAATAGATTAATCAAAAAGTTATCAGCAGATTAATCCATAATGAAAATAAACGTTAGTTGCAGTCCTATACAAAATAATTAAATGGTAAAATGAGCTCTGCCTCAACCAACTACTTCAATATCCTGATTTTACATTAATGCATGAATAATAATCATAATCTATTGATATAATAGTTTAACAGTCACAGGGGACATTTTTCTGCATTGAGTACTTTTACTTTTCATACTTAAAGTACATCTTCCTAACTTATACTCAAGTAACATTTGAATGGAAGACTTTTTTAACAAAGTATTTCTAGAGTGTGGTATTACTACTTTTACTGAAGTAAAGTACAGGATCTCAGTACTTCTTCCACCATTGGCAATATCTGACTTATGCCTGCATTAGGTTCCAGTATTTCCTGAGTAGCCCTGGATGGATAAATCTCCCTGCAGCTCCACTCTGCTCTGCCTACTGGGGGTTGTTAGTGAGCAGGATGTGCCTCGAGCAGAGCTGCCCTCGGGCACTGTGGTAACATCTTTCCCTCCCTGTGCAATGACCAAATGTTATTGCTACAGCATCAATTGCTATAAATTGGGTTGGTAAATTGGAAATGTATTTGCTTTGCAAACCAAATTCATCCTCAAAATGTCCCACATTCTCCTCCAAAACTTATATCTATATTGACTTTTTTAAAACGTATGGAGCTGCAGCTTTTAACTGTTCCTTTCAAACTAGTGACTTTTAGGACATTGACATTTAACTATTCGCTAGCAACTTTCTCAAGCACCAATAAATGTCTATATTTTTAAAGGGTTTCCACTCTTTTGGGGTGAACTAAGCCTTTTATTTGTCTCACGTACAATTTACTGCTGTTCAAGGAACAAAACTCAAATGACTACTGCAACATTTGCATGTGGTCCCAGTAAAACCCCATACATGCTTACACTTTGTACATTTACTAAATCATCAAACACACACACACACACACACCCCCCCCCCCACACACACACACACACACACACTCACACAGTGTGGCCTTACGTCATCTCTACCAGATACACTTCCATGTCTGAACCGTTAGGGGGCAGTGTTGCCCCAGATCTGCCTCCCCCCGCTGTCTGTTTTCTATTCCCACAGCTGCTCATTGGAGTGAAATCAGTCTTAAGTGCTGATCTGGGGTCAGAGTTGGGATTTCTACAGCGGTAGAAGAGGTCAAGATCTGGAACAGTGAAGCCCCATCCTAAGTCAGCAGTCGGACAGGGACCATAAAGCGTCTCTGCTGATGTTCTTTCCTGCTGTTTCAGCACAAAGACAACTATCCCCACAGATGCATCAGGTGTAGAGCACAGGCTGTTATCGACAACAGCCCCTTAGGGAAGTGTGTTTGTATCTGTGGGTGGGTGTGGAAATGTGTGTGATATATGCAGATGTATCTGGAAGGGCGAACTGTTAGTGGTACAGAGAGAAAAAAACAGTAAACAGAAACAATACAAAACAGAACCAGAGAAAATAGTCATACCCTCCTAAGTTGAACATGTGACCGAATAATATTTAGCTACAAGTGGAGTGTTTGTGTTTTCCCAAACTACACACTGACATTTCTGAAATGTATATTTATGCATTTTACATCTCTCCTCCTTTCCTTCTCCCTCTCTCCATTCAGCAGATATGTTGTTTCCTCTTCATTGTCTTTTTCATTCTTCCCTTTCCCCTCAATAATCTCATCTCTTCTCCTCCCTTCACCTTTCTTCGTTGCCCTCTTTTATTTATTTCTCTCCTTCTTCTCTCCCTGACTCATGCTGGTGTGTGTTTATGAAAAAAGAGAGGGGGAGAAGGAAAGAGAGAGGTGTGGAGAGACCTGCTAAGCTGGAGCAGACGTCCCCCTGGTGAGACTTCTATCCAGGACAACAAGCCCCACCTGGGGATTACATAACACACACACACACACACACACACACACACACACACACACACACACACACACACACACACACACACACACATACACACACACACACGCACACTTCCTCACACTCTCTCACTTCACTTTCTCTCTGATACTCTTTTGTTTCATCCTCGCCCTTCCTATGTCTCCCTCTGTTTTTCATTCTGTTTTTCTCTCACACACACATCGTCATCATGGAGAGAGGGGGGGGGGGCATTCGGCTGCTGGTTAGCCTGCAGCTAGAAGCCTTGGCAGTTTGTACACTGCTCTGTGGACTGCTACTGAGCGGAGTTGTCTTGTTTTGGGTTGTGTGGGTGGGTGTGCGTGTGTGTGTGTGTGAGATGATGATGGAAGCTTGGAATTTGCTGCCACCGCTCTGCTTCTTAGACTAAGCAAGCGGTTTTATAGATTTCTTTTTCTTCCGAAGACAGACAGGTGGAGAATTTCATTGTAGGAATGATTTGACTTCAAAAACTACTGTCATACACAGGGATTATAATACTAGAGATTTGCCTGCTTTTGTAGTTTTTGTTCCTCTTCACGACTATATTCCTCTCTGCTAAAGACTTTATCCTTAAATTCCTTGCATGACAAGAAAAGGGAGGATCATTTTTAGCTGGTATAAGCTGTGTGTCCTTTGAGGTCATTAAACAGTGGCAGTTGCCAGAACTAGAAAACATGGCAGATGCCTTTTTTCCCCCTGCAGCATTAATCAAAATAATGAAATATGGGCTGGGTTTACAATTTAGTCATGGATAATGCTGAATTACATGGTTGTATTTAAGAAAATTAATGTTTCAAGAACAACAATATATTACTCATATAAATATTTGCATTTCTGTCAGTCATATATGTTAAATTTGGACACCCAGAGGTAAAGAATGAATGTGAACATCATAACTAAATGTTCAAGAACTGGTGTGTAGGATTTAGTGGCATCTAGCGGTGAAGTTGCAGATTGCAACCATTTGAATACAGCTCAACCTTCCAAGCAAGTAGGAGAAACTACGGTGGCTGTAAAAATGGCAAGAGGCCCTGTCT